AAAGAGTTAAACGCTCTTTTTCCTCCAAAGAACAATTTTTTATTTTTCCTGACAAGGCCTTTTATGCAATTAGCTAGAGAAGCTGTGGCCAAAAAGCAAGAATAACACATGTAAAATCATGCCAGAGAACAGAGTAGGTAGTAACTTGTTGAGTCTATTACCAGACAAAATGTTTAAATCAATGGTGTGTTCTCATAAATCAACAGCCATATTTAGCCTTAACTATAACCATCCCTGAGCAATATGGAATAGAGAGGAAAAACTGGGGGAAAAAATGGTGATGCTCCTGAAATAAGGAGGGGAGGAAGCAAGCCCAGCATAGGGTCATCTCCCAGGCAAGGGATTTATTTCATAGGTCAGAATTGAGGTGCTGCAGGTTTCAGGGCTGAGCAGAGACTGCACCAACTCACACCGAGTCTGGTGGTGATTTGGAGATGTTAAAGAACCATTCAAACCTAGTTAAAACTTGGACACTTACGTGGGTTGTGCACTAAAACCACAATTGAGCCCAGAAGAGCCAGAACTCTGTGCTACGCAGTCGGAGACAAAAAGGGTTTGCTTTGCAGACCATAAAAGATCATTCTTTTTCAATTACACTTGACAGATCTATAAGAGGAATAAATTTGGAAAAGGGGAGAGCACTAATAGTGAACCAGAGGACATAACGTAACTTGAGAAACGGCACAAGAATCTTATTAGATCCTTTTCTTACTTCGCTGGGAGTGGAAGAACATCTCTTTTCACCCCTCCATCTTTGTTCATCCCCTTACTCTTCCGGTTGAGGTGGTTTGATTCAGATTTAGGGCCCCCATTCCTTCCAGTTAGATAGCTTTTCTGTAAAGCTGTTTACCAAACCCATGCTAGGTTCCCATTGACAGGATTTCACTGCTTTCCAGAAAAAAAATGGATTTCTCACATACCACAAGCTTCTAAAGGTCCCTTCTTCAGCGATATCCTCCGTGGCACAGAACCATGTAGTAGTTCTGTTAAAGCAGTGGCTCGGACCCAAAGATAGATATTTTGCCTACTGTGCGCTCTTCGGCACTCAGTTCGATTTGCAACAGCGCTAAGCAAGGCTCCCAAACGCAAGCTCCGGTTCAGTGACCTGCGAATACACGACGGGGAGCAGGTCACCCCCAAGAACCGCCCTCAGCCTTGCCTGCAGACTGGGAAGCAGCAGGCTTTGGGGTCCTTGGTCTACAAGCACTTCCCTAGGCTACTGCTGAAGTTTGTCTCAAGGTGGAGGTTTCTTCCTAGCCCTGCCCCTTCCATCTCACCTTGTTTGCTTCTGTGCAGCTGCCAAGTCCAGTCCTACCGAGCAGCCGTACTTTTTACGGGTTCCGTTTGTTCTTTCAGGCAAAGTTTTACCAGAACCGCATCATCTGCATGAAATCCAATAGAATTTATTTCTGCTTTTGCTTGTAGTCCTTAACACATTGTCAGCACTCCCACTGAAGCAATCGCATTGAAAATAAGAGTTGCTTCTTCCAGTTCTGGCATTTCCACGTTTTTATGAGATGCTGGAAAAGCACAATTGGATTCCCCCCCCCCCCCTTGCAAATATTGAGACAATAATAAGTAACAGATTCATTGAGCTTTGACTTGCCTCAGAACCAGGTGTTTCTGACATGTACCACGTCTTTCAAATATATTACACACTCCAATACTCTTTGTACCAAGAGCTTAAGCTTTTTACATTCTCCACTCCCCATCAACATGCAACAAGACTTTCAGACTTGCCTGACCACCGGTCTAGTTTTTGCATAGCGCTCCCTTTTCAGTGAGATGCAGAGAAAGCATCGGGGTGTGTGAACTTTGCGGGTGAGCTGTCAGCTAGATGTAGCGACTGACATGCAAAGGAAGTGTCAAAGTACTACGAATATCGAAAATAAATGCCGGGCAGATTAGAGGAAATGCAGACCGAGTAATTTTCTTTTTTCACTTGACCAAGAGAGCAATCCAACCAAGTCTGAAATTCACACTCAGTGATCTCTAATGGGCTAAAACCTTACGGTGACTGTAGTTACAGCTCGACTTTTGGAGCCAGTGAACAACGCGGGTGCAGGTACAATGCTCCTCTAGTCCCCAGTGCAATTTCGGGCGAGTTGCTGATGATGGGAACCTCTGCAGCTCCACCTTCTGTAAGTCTTGATTTACAGCATGGCTGTGCCCTTGGTTCCAGAGGTGGAACCGAGGAACCCCGCAGCAAAGCCGCCCTCTAACTCCTGGCTCCAGCAAAACAAAGTAGCATTCCAGGCTCGAGTTTGGAGCAAATTCTTACATCAGCTGGATTAATTTTCTTTCGGTATTACTGCCTTAGAACTGGCTCTAATCATGAATACTTCATTGTTTCTAGGAAGATGCAAAAGGGGAGGGCAGTTTAAAATTATTTGAACAATTCTTATCATAAAGCAAGCTCAGAATCATTCTACAGGTTTGGAAGATCCTCCTAATTCACGAGCTGTTACCTGTTCAACATGGGACATGCCTGGAGGAACCCTCTTGATCTACAGGTGATGTGTAGCATATCTGATGGAGCAGAGATATAGGAATACCCTTGGCTGTTCACGGAGTGCACGCTGGCTGCTCATTTTATCCTCATGTTTTGCCATTATCCACAATGGTAAAACAAGCTTATACAAAGTAGTTTAGGTCCAGTTGAATCCAAATTAGCATCTTACAATAAATGCACAAGACGACCCATTGCAATGGTTCTGAGTGGAACACTGCTGAGAAGTGAACGGGGAATAAAAATTGAGATTTATCACATTTAAAATGGACTTTTGACCAGGAAGATCAATCACTGCATTTTTCTGTGCAGATTTACAGGCCAGATGAATCCCTGGTTTAACCTCTGAACTCAGAGGGTTTCCAAAAGAGAGGAATGTGTCTATAAGGGTCATGCCTGTGCATGCTTTCCAGGCATTACAGGATTGAAGTTGTAGTCATTTAAGCCTAGAAGAGAAAAAGGAAAACCCACAATAGTTCAGATAAGGAATGAGACTTAAGAATACTGCTCCCTGATCATCAGACAACGATTGATATGCTAAACAACAGTACACAGGAAAGGATGAAATCCAGAAAGAGAAGAGGAAAAAAAAAGATACAAATGCTGCTGAAGAATTAGCATGACTGAAACGTGCGGTAGCTGTCTGCTCTCAGGGTCACCGACAGCCGTGGGAACTCACGTTCTGCATTGCCCCCAACCAAAGACCCAGCGCCCACAGAGCTGGCTGGTTAGTCAACGGCTGACACGCTTGTGTGAAAAGATCGGCATTACCGTCTCTTCGCCTCGAGTTATGTTTCGACGTAAGCGCTTGCCGTAGCTGCTGCAACGAGATGAGATGAGCCACATCATCCCGAACAGCTGCACCAGCTGTGAGCAGAAGAATCACTCAGATAACACAGCTTATAAACAAACTGGAACCCGCTTCCAAATTTGAGAATTTGATAGGATTTCTACAACGCTCAGATATACGCTCGTCATACATGTCCAAAGGGTAAATATTTCTGTCTCTGAAAGCTGTGAATGATTTAAAAGTCAAAAGCTAATACAAATACCAAGCCTAACGCTAATAAATATTGAAAGCTGGCACTGATACCACTGATTCAGTGGGCGGTGGACTCCAAACTGATTCTTCACCCGCAGTGCATATTGCCTTTCCTTCCTCCCAGCTGGCATTAGTAAAGTAGCAACAGCCTTAATATCGGGTTTTGAGAAATTTGTTGCCGTAAGCCAGACTTGTAGCAGCATTTAAAACAAGATTGCATTTAACAGAAAATTGAGCTATTTTCTGGCCGTTTATAAAAAATGAAACATGATCTAACATTAAATAAACTAGATGTGGGGTTCTGAGGCCAAAATCCCATTCTTACTAGATTTTATAAAAAAAAAAACCCCTAACAATGATACCCCTTTGTTCATGCAAACTGGTTTCTGGGAACGCAGTGACTAGAGTTTTGCATCTGTTTGCATACAGAACTAGTAATTGTTGCACACGCAAATCAGAGCTTACAATCGCAGATGAATGTTTGTTTATTCTTTCGTAATTGGTATTACATTAATACCAGCTAGGGATCCAAACCGTGCGCATGGTACTATAGAAACATAACTGATGCTCTGTTCCAAGAATCTCAGCTTAAAATTGAGTCCACTGCTTAACAGTAGATGAGGAAAATCCCTTAAGGTACCAGTTGCTTTAAAAAAAAAAATGAAAGCAATTTTTATGAATCACATTGACCTTTCTGAGCTATTTTCTTCTCAAGGGAAATTTAATTTCATTTAGAGGAAACATTACCATTCTATTCGAGAGTAGCAGAAGTATTTTTCAGAAGTGTCAGAATTTTCTTTGGAACAGAAAATCTTCCTGGTATTACAAAAACAGAAAATCTTACTGCTATAACCCAAAATGCTACAAAAGCGAAAGAAGTTAGAGTGTCCTATCAATATAAAAATGGCCTTTGGACTGTAGTTATTATTTATGTCTTTTAACCTCTTTCTGAAAGCACCCTATGTTATCCATGCCATCCATAATACCTTACCACAAAGCCCTTCGTTCCCCCCTCCCCAGCTTCTGTCGCCACCCAATTGCACAAGTACATTGGAAACTTCTGAGGGCGGAGATCCTCAAACAGAAATACACCCTGGAATTTGTAGATCAAAAACCCAATTTAAATATTTTTATTTTTTTTAAAAAAACCAACCTGGATATTGAAAGCAGAGGTATAAACACAAACGCTTTAGGCTAAGTCTCTCGGTTGGGAAGTGACTTACAGTCTTGAGAAATTACTTGAGAACTTTCAATGTTTGATGGGCCACGGGAAAAGAGACCTAAGTGGTTTTAATGAATTTCCTGGACAAAAAGCCACTGTCACAGGAAGCTGTCCAGCTCTCTGTTTTTGAATAGGAGGTGAAGGAGAGCATGCATCCCCACCATCTTTGTCAACCAGATGAAGAATTATGGATTTTCATTTCTTTTCCGCTTTTGTTTCTCACACAGGCATATCATAGGCAAGTTTCCTGACTATCCTACTGAAGCAGCAGGAGGTTCAATGGCTATTCTTTCTGAAAAAACTCCGGAGCAGGTACTGTCACTCGTCTAATGAAAAAGGTTAATGGGACTGGGGAAGGAATTGCCACAAAACATGTCTATTTAAGTAGCAATTTTTCATAAAAACAGCCTCTAGCACTACAGAAACCTTATCACTAAGATAAGTGAAAGGATTGCTTTCTTCCAAGATAAACCACTAAAGTCACGTACCAAAATTTGTTCCCTTTCAGGATGGGCAGGCACTTAGTCACGGTGCAAGGTGCTTAGGCATGCAAGTTACAGACAGATAAGTAAATATTGAGGGAGCTAAGAGGAAAGGGCTCAGCTGCAAAGAGTTGCTCTCCTCTTGCAAAATCCATGTGGTTAGACTGAACAGAACTATACATCAGATAGTTTAAAGTAGCCTTAGTTTAAAATAGGCATCCGAAGCTACCCCAGAAGCTGAAATTGGTTCCAGCGTGTTTGCATTCAGTATCAGCACAGTCTAGCAATAACTAGCTTAAGCAGAGTTTCTTATGCAGGCAGGCCTAAGCCTTGATTTACTGCCAGTTAAATGAGCTTGAACAAGGGGCACGTTCAAGTGAAGGAGATATCTATGTTTATCTACGTATCTTTGTAATGAACACGTGTGTTTTTCCTGGTAAAAACCCTCTCCTGGCTTCTCTGGCTAATAGAAGTGGCTGATAACCTCTTCCTCTGATTACCTGGGGGTCACGTAAAGGGATTAAGACCAGTTGAAGCAGTGAAGACAGTGGCTGGCACTCAGAGCCATTTCCAACCACCATAACCATCTTAGCAGGATGATGAGGCTGTTGAGGGACATTACAAATAGGAAGCCCTACACACAGGAGCAGGATTTGGCCCCTGAATAAACCAAATATGGCAGCTACTAGTGGGCTAGGAACACTAAGTTGTCAAAAGCTGATTTAACACAAGTATTGTAAGATAACATTTTGGATTCAATCCTTCCTGGAACCCACTAGCAGCATCTGTGTAGTTTGGGGAGGATGTAAACACAAACTAGCTCACCATAAAGGACAGTACCTAACCATTAGTAAGCTTGCTTACAAAAACATGCAAGAAAGCTGCTACAAACAGCTCTCCGTGCCTCACTAAAACCGAGCTTAGGGCATGCTCCTGGGTTTTAGCAAGTTTGGAGTACTCCAAAGGTCAACCCTGCTGGCCTCTGTATCTAAGCCGCGCTGTTGTTCGGTCCTGGACAGAGTGAAGGAGAGCCATCGGTTAAGTTTTCGGCTTCTAAAGTAGAAACACATGCCAGAGTCAGGAAGGCTTTGTTGGCTGCTCTGAGCAGGAGAGCCACCCAGAAAGTACGGCTTATTGCTGGAGAAGCCATCAAGGAACAACAGTGTAGTTAGACCTGCTACCAACAAGGATAAACACAACTCAGTAAAAGAAAAAAGAAATTCTACTGAGCAAAACTGGATATGTTAGTAGATTCTGGAGAAATACATTCTTCCTGTCCTGCTCCCAGCTTTGAATTCCCACTTTCAGCTATTTTGTTGTCTTTCCTGGGCATCTGCTTTCTCTTCGCATTTAAAAAAAAAATTAAAGGAAGCCAAAAGTCTAGAGAGATTGTCTGTTTTCCCCTGCATAAAAAAATACTCAGAAGAAAAAACTGCATCTGTTTTCCCAATAAATTTTCACTAGTGATTATTTGATTTTCAAAGATTTTCTCCCCTTTTAGCCAGCACAACCGAGAACAGATGTCACATAACCTTAACAGATATCCAGAATGCAGCTGGCAAAAGAAAGTTCAGTACGATCACGATGTTACCTGAATGTCAGACAAGTGAAACATTTTTTGTTCAACCGAGTCTGCCGCACATTAAAAATCCCCAAGGCAACTGGTTTTGTTCCACACTGGTCTACTGGGCAACATAGTAAATGAAATCCTGGCCCCATTGGAGTTAATGGGAGTTTCGTCCTTGACTTCAGGGGAGACAGGATTTCACCTCTTGTATATATTACCTTCTGTGAAGGGGTTGGTTACTCCCAAGTTAAACTCCATGAAAAATCAGGACCGAACTGTATTTAAAAACCGAGCATTTTATAAGACTTAGGTAAAGACACTTTGGGGAAAATAAAATACAAATGAATCACTTCACGAACCATTGCTGCATTATTATACATTCTATATTTCTTTCTCCTTTGACAACTCTGACCTTACCTGACTTTGCAACGTAGCTGGCCTTCTGCACAAACTGCTTTCACGACATTTTGCAAAATACCTTTCAAGAAAAAAATGCCAAAGAAGGTCCCGATGCAAAGTACGTGGTGGTTTCGTCAGAAAAATACGTACCGTCCCTTGACTGAAGAGAAGCTTTTCTTTACTTCACACTCTTCAAGAGAAATTTAAGATTCTGGGACACCAGTGTAATCTCCCAGCATCTGTTCCGGAGGCCTCTCCCTAATGGTTTTTTTATGTTTTGCTCCAAAGATAGTCATCAGATGTGACAATTTTTAGCTTTGCCCTTATACTGCTGCCAACAAAATTACGATCTCTTCCTGTAGTTCATTAAATCTCATCACTGTGAAAATAAGCCAAGAGAGTTGCCATTTAGCAGGCATATCCCTCCTCTCCCAGCTCCCCCTCATTTCCAATACTAAATAACTTATCAGAAAAGATGTTTACTTACTGAGATCTTGGTTGTAACATTCAATTGCTGCGTGGAGGACAAAGTCATTCCCACGTTACCGTAATCGCAGTATCTAGAGAATGGGTGAGAAAAAGTACATGTTAACTGCAGTGCAAACATATGCTCCTGATCCTCGCTTGGCACTCCATGTAATAACACCCTGCTAATTAGTATTCATTACTACCAACAGCTAGAGATCCCCACCAATCCCAGTAATCACTTTGATTGTAAGCAGCAGTGCAAGAGATCCCCAGTAGTTAGTGTTTAATTAGTAAGCCTGACTATTTCCCAGGTAGGGACAGTAAAATGCAATTATGCAGTCAAATACCCCAATATTCACACACACACAAATGTAATTTCTCACTCCTACCAAATGAATGTATCACAAATAGCTTTAAAGTGTCAGAGGAGGACTCAAGAGGCTTTCTGGAGTCGTACTTCTTTTGTACCCAGCGTTGTGCAAATACGTTTTTGTCCTGACAGCAAATACACCGAGCATACTTTTCAGTAACAGAAGTTGATGCCTACTGTCACACTCACCTTTATTTCCTCTGTTCCACACTATTCTGGGATGCTCCTTTTAGAAATTATCAGGCTGGATTTTCAAAAGTGCCAAATGCGTGGTGCCATCAGCTGGAGCCAGGCATCTCAAAGCCTTAAAAATAATCTGATTATTTCCAGTTAATCAGGCAGGAGGACAGAAACGGTACTCAGTTTCTGTTAAGCTACACCAGGGGCAGATGTAGTCACGTCCAGATGATTCTCTGCAGCAAAGCCATTCTGCAGGCAGACTCCTAGTCCAGCAGCTCTCCACTGCCTACAAACACAATCTCTGTTGGCTGAAGCCAGTAGCCTAGGTTGAATACCTAAAGCCAGGCAGGATCAACAACCCCTTTTCACCTCTATCACCCACCTTCCTTAAAAAAATTAAAAAAATTAAAAAAATAAAAAAAAAAAAAAAAAAAAATAAAACCACCTATGCCAAGCAAAGCCAAGAGATTTTCACAAACACATTGAATGGAGACTATCATTTTGAAGTGTTTGCCAAAAGATAAACACAAGTGTTTAACATTTGGGCAACATCTGGCAGATGGAAAAAAAACCCCACAACCCTAGAGCATGGATCAATCATGGACTGAAATGTGTAACAGTCTATTAAAGTCAACCGTAAGATTTTGCAAGATCCCATAAAGCTATGAAATCCCACCCAACGTTTTGAATGCTTTCCTGCAAGAAACAGATCACCGGGGCTGTTTCTAACAGCTTAAGCTTTGCTTGCCAGTGCACACCCAAAAGTAAACAAGGCTCACGGAAGTGCCTTGCCAGGAGAACGCTACGTTATTGAAAGCTACACAAATGGATTTGCCTGCGAGAGGGAATGAATCCAGATCACTGGCCCTCAGCTAGCTCGATGACACGGAGCCCCACGCCCACCATGATGAAAATAACATAGGATTATAGAATCATAGGATGGTTTGGAAGGGACCTCAAAGATTATCTAGTTCCAACCCCCTGCCATGGGCAGGGACACCCTCCACTAGCCCAGGTTGCCCAAAGCCCCATCCAACCTGGCCTTGAACACTGCCAGGGAACATCTCCAACTGATAAAAAAAACCAACATCACCTTAAGGGAGTAATCAGAGTTGTAATTAAGTGTCCCCAAGCTAGGGGTGTTAGGACAGGGAGAGGTACATTTATACTGCATTTTACGTGCAAGTGATGCAAATGGGCCGTCCAGTGTTTGGCACGCTACTCTGGAACACGGGGATGGCATCTCTTCCCATCTCAAACAGTCCTGTTCTCTTGAAGAAACTTCTTCTTTTGCTTAGATTTCAAAATAGCTTCTTCCTGTAGAGTTACTACTCGAAAGAAAGCACATTTTCTCTCCAGGAACGCTAGGCTACCTGTGTATAAAGTGTTCCTGTTCCAAATGGTTTCAGAGCCAGATTTACAAGGCTGAGGCTGTCTCTCACCCGCTGCAGCTGGAGATCCAGAATTCCCAAACTCACTTTATCCCTGCCCACACCATTAATAAAGGTGGGAGGTTCAAGTAAGGTCTTTCTTTCAAGGGGTGAGGAAAGAGCTAATTCTTGAGGAAGAATATTTGCCTCAAGTATCCGCTTGCCTGAGCCACCACCAAGCTTTCTATGGCTGAGGAACATCGAACATGAGTGACAAACTACTGGCAGTTGGGGGTTTTCACATAGTTGGCTCAAAAACCAACATCAGGTATTTCTATACATAGGCTGCATTCTGTTTCAATGCCCTTCTGTTTCCCAAAAAAAGGGGATTTGCACTGCAAGAGCTTGGAAACACACTTGAACTGATGTATGAATAGCAAAGTTAATTTGATTTTTGTGGGCTATCAGTTTAGATGAAAATGTCTTTTCAGCCTCAGAAGAAAACGTTACTGGAGAGGAGTCATCACGAGCACGACAGGAGTCCTATGACAAGACTGGAAAAAAGGAGACTAAAATTCATCTGTTCTTACTGATGCACATTCTCTTCCCCAATATTAAGAGTTTTCTCAGTGCTTTCAGCATCGTTTCAAAAGGAGGCAACCTAGCAAAGAAAAAGGTGGTCCAAAATAATTTAGAAATACATCTGCTTTCATTTCCACTGTGAAGTTTTCTTCAGGGGAAAAAAAAATGTATTATAACATGGGTGAATTGCTTAATATCTCAAACTGACCTTTGCTTGCCCTTCCCTTTCTTTCCTCCTCTTTTGTCAGATTCTTCAGGCATCTTGTAGCTGGAGGGAAAATTGGTCTGTGTAGAAGAGTACAAACCACCCAAGGTTAGATACACAGCCAGCTTCACCCCAGCTCCCAGTCCTCTGCAATTACAGAGCTGCTTAGAGCAGAGGTGAAAGCAGAGCTGGAGAAACTGCACCAAAGGAGTACAGAGGAGAAGGTGCATCTGACAGGGAAAAGGAAAAGTTATATTTGCTTTCTCATTCTTTTTTGGGAAGCAGAGAGCCACTTCAGAAAAAGTCAGGCTCTGCGTGCTGACGGCATTGCCAGCTGCTTCAGAGCATTCCACCAAAACTTCTTGGCATCTCAGGCTGCACATACATTGCCAACGCATCCAGGAGAGCGACCGTACAGGCGTTGCTTGGATGGGCGCAACCTCTGTCCGCAGTCACTGTGCGTGTGTCTAGGCTTGGCTTCTTGTGTGACTCTACATTTCACTCGGCGCTAACTGCAATTGCGATTTTTCTGTTCCCTATATGAGCAGTTAGTTCAAGACTTGGCACCGTGCCTCACACTGCAGTTCAGAAAGTAGTAAACACTTTGTTTTCTGCCACCTTACAAGACAGAAGAAGCCAAGGCAGAAGGATGAGGACAGTTCCACAATTCAGTCCCATTATAGCAGGTTCATGAGAACAGGAACTCTGCATAACCCTTTCCACTATCATCCATCTAGTATAAAAACACAAAAGCAAATCATTCCAATCAGAGTCTGGATATACTTAAAAATACCACCAGTAGAACTCCAAAACACTGCTTAAAATGAAAACCTTTTGTCCATCCCACGTACGCTTACAGGTATCCTGCCGGATAAACCCACCCCGAGCTGCTGGAAACCATTACGGTTACCCTTTGGTAGGCTGGCGGAAGTGACAAGGTTGGATTTCTGGCAGGGTACTAGCGCTACAGTAAAGGCTACGTCTGGAGTAGCTCTGTTGGTTTTGGATACAAACGGGCCTGCCGGGACACTAAAAACCTATTTTGAACTCTAGTCAATCTGTTAATCTATCCCAGGGAATGAAACGCTTCACTGCTTATCACCGCAAGATATGACTGAAAAGTGCTTGGGGTTTAAATTACCATATTTAATTAAATGTAAGATACTGAAATGCTTGGGGAAATCTACTAATGAAATTTCACTGGCTGCAAAGTATAGCCCTTGTCTTCATCTCCCTTCGGCTGTCCGATCTTCAATGCATTAAAAGGCATTCTTTAGAAAACAAATATTGTTTGCTGTAACAGCAAACATGTCTTACAATTGAAAATTTTTTGTTTTCTACTCTTTCACAGTACTACCAATATTAATGGTCCATTAATAAACTTCAATGGCCACAGATTTTCTGATTTACACTCATCAGTGGATGATCTTACAAAAGAACACAATGAAAGGCACCTGGCAACAAGAGAAGGGTAGAAGCAGCAAATTTCACCCTCCACCTTTTTCTGATAGGGTATAAACACCCAGGAACTAAAATTACAAAAAAAAAAAAAGATGAAGCTGTACCCAGTTATCAGCTGCTACTGGCTTGCAGGGATAAAGATGCTGGGCAAACCACGTGTATCTGCCAGTGTTTGTCACAATCTCTCTATCCAGTCTCTCTCGCCCACTAGAACAATTTCAGTCTTCAGCCACATATTGAAATTAGACATGCCTCAGGGCAAACTCTCAAAATCCATCTCTATAAAAATCTATCTGCCTTAGAAACACTAGGACAAATTCATAATCCGAGTCCAAGACCAGAGGGAGCTTTAAGTTGTATGTCATTAGAATATGGTGCTTCTGGGTGGTTTCAGGAATGGGTTGCACTCCATAAAAGCCCTCGCTGTTTGGACATAGAAATCGCCTCTTTCCCAACGATGTCGGGAAAGTCGGCACCTACGCCAAAATTTGCAGGTAGGAGTGCCACCAGCATACCTTCACAGGATTTCTCTGTAATGATCAACAGCTCTGGAGTTTGTAGAGGGCTACCAAGCAATGTCTTGGATATCATGTTTCCCCAATACTGGAAAGCTGAAAGCGAGAGGGGAAAAATACACATGGGTTCGTAACTCCTCCAGCACATGTCCAACACGCCTTGCACGTGAAAGTATTTGACCAGCTCTTCACATTCCTTTTTGTCTCTTTCAGGTCGCTGCAGAACTGGCTGCCAAGGAGGAGATGGCTTTGCAGAAAAAAGCCCAAAAGGAGAAAAAAGAAAAAGAAGGAGGGAAGGAAAAAACAAAAGGGAAAAAACCACAGAAAACTGGAAAGAAAGTAAGTCTTCCTACAGTAAAAACAGTTAGTTTATAAAAATAGAGCCAAAGTCCAGCTTATCCAGCCATGTGTGGGCAGAGGATATTAAATTTACATTAGAGGGCTCACCAGGCTTCAGGTTTGGGTTCAGAAGACAGAGGAACTGGCTGAGGCCAGTCCCTCTCAGCCCTTCAATTACCTTGATGACTCTGGGGAACTGAATTTCACCTCTCACATTATAGGAATGACCATTTGCATGGCCACGACTCAGCTCAGTGAAAAGACCTGATGTAGGTGCAGACTGGCAGAGGCACAGATGAGGGGAAAAAAATACATTTTATGGCTTTGACGTTGTTGCTGAGACAGTGTGCACATACTTTTCAAAGCACTGTTGCTTTTTTTGTGTGCAGATAACGCTGTGCCCAGCGATCTAACCGAGCATTTCCACTTTCAATGCAGGGGACACAAGTTAGTTACTGCCACCCCTTCGCACAACAACTAGGAGACGAGAACCTTCTTCTCACTCGGATACCCACCCCAGAGCTTCTGTGGATTTCAAACTAATTTATAAGTACAGTTCTGTATTGGCCAGCTGCGTCTTTTGTACTGCAAGCCAATATTTTGTAAGCCTGTAAATAGCAGTCGTGCATTTTCAGTCCATGTTCTTAGGGTGTGAACTATTTTTTGCTTCAAGTCACAGTGGACACCACTTAATGTATGATATACTCCCTGAAATCTTTGATATGCTATGGGATGGTTTCACAGAAGGAATGCTTCCAAATTATTTCAAGAGCAACTTTGCTGAGGATAACACCTGTGAAACAGCATAGTGACCAGAAGGCATCTTCAAAAACAAGCTATGCAACAAAAATTGTGGGCTTTTGCTGCAGCAGCAAATTTTGTTTCTCATTTACTTTATAGTATAAACAAAGCTGAAACAGTACATTTATTTTATTTTAAATAAGGGTCATTAATCTCTCACCAAGTATGTGGAGGAGAAGGGTGAGTTTTCTGGGGCAAAGCCGACTCCTCACTGCAAATTTTACACAAATTAATTTTACGTCCTAACCCTGGAACAACCATATAACAAAAAAAGATGCTTTTCTTGGACAACATCCATTAATCTGGCCAAAGCTCTCATAACAGCTAGCCAAGAACCTGAACTACATGAACTTAGGAAGCATCAGTCTATCTAATTGGGAGGTGATATCTAAGTGTTAATTTGTAACTTTGATAGCATCTTTGCCACATGAAAAGACTTTGGGTCATATAAAACAGAGGGTTTGGGGGTTTTACCCTGGAACATCTTCAGGTGTTCATTTGTCAGGGTGACGCAATCATAGAGTGCACCATCACAGCATTAGTGAAGGGTTCATACTCCAAGTAGTGGAAGGTGATTACTGGTACCACTTCATTGTACCTTAGTGGCAGAGCAAACCAAACCCAAGGCAGCAAGAGCGCAGAAAGAGAGCGGCAAGAGGAGCGCGACGCCTCCAGACCGAAGCCAAATAATACCCATCCCAAGTTGGTTGTTGTCCGTAAGACTTCTGGTGACTTGTATTAGTGCTGAGAGCAGAAAGAGAGCAGCAAGAGGAGCGCGACACCTCCAGACCGAAGCCAAATAGTACCCATCCCAAGTTGGTTGTTGTCCATAAGACTTCTGGTGACTTGTATTAGTGCTGAGTTCGGCTCTGCGGGACCAACTCATGCTGTGACCCCTCAAATCAGCATGTGCACTGAAGAACTCCACGAGAAAGATCAGATAAAAGTACACCTACAAAGGCGGTTGCTTAGAAAAGCTTTTGAAATTAGAGACTTCAAAGAGCATTGTCATTCATTCACAGTCGTAGAACCCTGTAGCATCTCAGACCGACCGGTTCCTCTCCGGAGGATTCAAGAGGGTGTCCTCTAATGGCTTTGCCCTTGTCCTCGCTCCTTCCCAGAACAAAGCCCTGTGATTCCTCTGGTCTCGCACAGGCAAGGAGAAAGGCTGTTCCAGACACTTCAGCCACGCTAAAAACACTAAACCCAACCTGAGCTTCTGAAACCGGATGGCAACTCACTCATCTGCTTAAAAAACCTGACTCTGACAGGATGAATTTGATTCCTTGTTGGTTTTGCACGTTTCATTAGATAAGAACCAACAATACCAAAAATGAATCTCAATCCCCTCACAGTCTCTACAAGGTTGTTTTCAAATGGGGTGAAAGAACAATGTAGAGCTCTGGGTCTTTATAACTTCACGTCGCCCTCATCTCTTCAGCCATCACGAGTCCTGTCGAGTAAAATTCTGAGCCGTTATATCAGGTTCTGTATGGTTCATTGAGAAAGAACAAAGGGAACATTCTCTCCAAGGTTATAATACTGACAGGGGGGAAAAAAAATAGTATCTAAGACCAGTTGAGAAGTTTTTGGAAAATTTCTAACAGCAGGACCCTTATTAAAATAAGTATAGGCTATAAGTCCTAGCAATGGAGGCAGAAAAAAGCCCTGTTCCTAACTTCAGTTCTTAAAGAAAACAAAAGTTTGAGCCCAGAAGGAAATTTAAATATTTCTGAAAAGCCTGATAGCAATCTTTAAAAAAGCATATTTGATATCAAAGTAACTCCGTTTTCTTTTCTCTGCAAGGTGCTGATTTGATTTCCCATTGGGCACCTAAGAAAAAAATAAAAGTTTCAGCACCGTATGATCCCTCTTTTCAATAGGAGAACGCATTAAACCAGTCTGGACTGCTTCACCCAGTAACGTGCTGCAACCTGTCTCACCAAACACGAGCAAGGCTGCGTGCATCCCTAAATTTCATCCAGAAATTTAACGACAAGATATATTTTTTTTTGTCCTTCACGAAACCTATTAGAAAAATTTCCATAGCAAAAGCGCACAATGGACTCCATTCAAAATTTTCCCTGCTGTCGAATGAGAATCGCCTAGTGGGGGCTAAGCTTTGGAGAGCTTCAGAAGTATGTTCAAACTCTTCTTTCCATATCTCTGCTTAGATTGAAACGTATATTGTTGGTTCAAGGTGCCTTAATACAGAGCAAGCATGGAATCAATCAACTGAACATAGAAAAAAAATACATCAACTGACTTCAGAGGAAAAGGGTTTTTTTATATTACATTGACTCCTGCGCTGTTAATAGAGGCAAGACAGAACAGCGCTCGGCCACTGTCCTTTAGACGTGCAGGGGTTTTGATTAAAATCCCTTAAATTGATACAACAATATTATTTATATCAGTGTATAAAATCCTTGAAGCTAGTAATTCAAGTGATTTAGCGGCTTATTCGTAACAATAAAAGAAACCTTAATGTGTCCTATGCTATTAAGAGGCTGAAAGCGAATAACCCATTTTTAGGTTGGTTTAGGGGGGGATTTGTTGTTTGGGGTTTTTTTTAATACTTAGCACTTGCTTTCCTCATAGAGCACCATTTTTAAATCACTTTCTATAAAATATCATGGAAAAACATTAAAAGAATAGATTCTGCCTACTGCAAAAGATCCAAGGATGAATCTCAAAATGCCGCACCCTGCAAAAACCGAGAATACGTTAGAGGAATTGGGAATTTGAACTCTGGGTGTCAGATTCTCAAAGTCTTGTTATACTTCAACCAAACAGTTCTTGATGTTTAAGTCAAGAAACTCCTAGATCTCTTTCAAATGTATCTGTAGAGCTTAGGGTAAGAAGCGACAAATGTATTTACATTTTGCATGTCCTTCTGGGCCCAAACTTTAATTACTGTAATAACACTTTAATTAAAAACAGATATTTAATAGTTCACATGATCTGGCTGCAACTGTAATCTGGCAGTAGCAGGTATGCAATAGCATCTAATTTAGGGGATTTGTTCAGTTATTTCGGGAGCTGCGGTTTCCATCTTGCTGATAACCAGTGGCTTCCAGACTACACCTCGGTTAGCAAAACCTGATACAACTTGTGCAGGCTTGCATAAATCCACATTCACCTCTTCCCACTAATAACCATTACCTTACTAACATTTTCAGACTTATGACTGATACAAGATGAAGAAGCTTTGATAATTTTCTGACAAGTTTTTTTTCCATCAGAAATACTGGTTCAATGAAATCAGACTCTTTCAGGAACATGTCAGTGTTGTTTACTTTAGACAGGAAAGCATGAAAGTGTTTTGATAAAGCTGAAACAAAGTGTTTTGTTTTGCAAAATACACCAAGATCACTATTTTTCTTTCTGATTACACATTAAAATGAGGTTTCAACACCTTGGAATTATTCACAAGTTGGGAACTCCTTGAGGGGGTGGGGGGGAGAAACCTTACAATAAGAGTAACTGAAAAAAACAGCAAGGTAATTGCATTTACGTGTTGCAAGTCTCCTACCTATATTACACGTTCAGACAAGCCTACGTTTAATTCTTGTGGCCTCAGTAGGCCAACTGATGAACTGACACCCCCTCTCTCAAGGGGATAAAACTTCCTTATATCCCGCTAGGAAGATTTTAATTGATGAAACAATGCTGTCTTAACTCCTCAAATTAAAATAAAGCTTTAAAAATTCAATTACAAATATGACACTTTTTCACACTTGAAGTTTCTACCTATTAATATTCTGATTTTTCTTTTCACACACTCCCCCCAATCTAGGAAGAGGATGAAGGCTGGAAAATGGGTCCCAGTAATTTCCTTTCAATAATGGAAGAAGGAAGCAGTCAATACAAAGGTCAGTAGGAAAAGATAACAATTACAGCTGGAATGTTCTTCTCATTTAGCTTAATCTGGATGTCATTCCTATAAGGTCAAGCTGGGCAGCTGCCCAAACTATGCAACGTTATAGAAATGAGGACATTAGATTAAAGTGCTATTTAGGAAGGTGGTCCTTTCAGTACCTCAAGTCTTCCTAGGAGTCTCTCAAATTCGTTGAGCTAATCGTACAGGAAGGTACATTTCCACGAGCGAGAGCGGCCGAGCTAGAACTGGAGCGCTTTAATGTATGTGCAAGGGCTTGCTTAGATTTTCCAAGTGCAACAAAAACAGCATCTGAATAGCAATAGTTCAAAAACACCGTACTGTAGATACACAAGGGAGTTAGCAATCACTTGTGCCAGGCCTGGAAGCAAGCAGGGAAGTCCCACGCTTGTCTGGAATGGAAAGGAGCTTCTGTCCCGGGAACTAGAAGTGAACGGCACGACAGGACTCCAAAGGTCAGACAAGCCAAATTGAAGTCCTTGATCGTACAATGTGCCCCAACAAAGCTTTCAGGACTATTTTTTGATTTCATGCAGACTCTATTCTCAATTATTAAAAATATCTTTTCTGCTCCCCCACTTTGCCGAGTTAGCAGCTTGCTAAAATTCCTCATATGAAAATCCTCCATTACTCCCTCCTGCTGACAAATTACTGGCGTCAAGTTTTCTGCCCGATTTGGGTTGGCTGGAGAGAAAGATGTGTACAACTTACTTGCTAAATATACACCAGAACAGTTTTGCCTGTTCTCCGTCTTCTAACAATTAGGATTTTCTTACAAATTATAAATCACAAAGCAGTTTTATGGCTGAAGAGTTCTTCATTCCAGATTCTACTCTTGAATGCTACATCAGAACCCTATTGAAGTCAGCAGGAGCTTTAGATAAGGATCAAATTCAGCCACGCTTCTTTCCTTAACTGGCCAGGAACATTACTTGTGCTTTTCTGGGCACTCAGGACAAAATGGCATCTTTTAACTCAAAACCACCAATAGCAAGACCAGGGTTCCTATCCAGCAAGTCCCAAGAGCAATGAAGGAGCAGCGTAGAGACCCTACGTGTTGCAAAGTAACAAAAAGAGCGCAGGAGGTACATTCATTTTGCACTGCCACATGTGCTCATCCAGCACTCCGCTAATGAGTAGGTGATAGAGTAGCTGTGCTTTCCCCCGCTGAAGCTTCAATGCAACGCTGAACTACAAATTCACCACCTCCTCGGATTTGTGCAAACAACTCTCCTCCAGGTTGTAGGAAACACGTTTGGCTGTAACCTCACCGCAGTGCTTCCCAGCGTGGCAGCGGATGCCAGCGTTCAGAATAAAAACACCACAGAGGTCAATAGATTAGTTTAATAAGAATAAAGAGTCCCAGATTTCACAATTATCTCAAGTAGTAACAAGTCAGGGGGTTTATGAGAGGACTGGGGACACGTTTGACGCCCAACGTGTGTCTGAGCACCAGCAGTGCCATTGCTAACGAGATACCTGCTTTGGGCTCTGCAAGCGTATAACTTTTGGGGGTTCCTCACGCTAACTTTCTGCGGGAAGATGAGCACTGAATCAGGGGTGTTGTGTTCCTGTACGTCTCCCAAGGGCAGCTCAGCAGCCTGTTAACTGTCTGAACAGGAGCGCGGGCTCCACAGACACCTGAACTGGATGTCTAGAGCCAGTCAGCGTGAGGAGTACCTCCATCTTCCCATGACGTACCGGCAGCGCTTGCCACCAGTACGCTGCAATAACATGCTCAAGTAGGTCAGGCACGGGCAGCATCCTTTTTGTGGTAGATAAAGACTCTAGCCCGGCATTCAGAGTGAAACACGGATGCTCATCTCCAACCCGTCCTGCCAGAGCTGACGGCTACTCGCCTAGCTCTAAAGGCACAGAAGAAGGAACCATTTTCTGCACCGAGGGCAACCAGGAATCCACAAGAGCACAAAGAGTTCTCTTGCCAGCTTCAAAGAGTAGCTGCAGTTCTCTTAGGCACAGTAAGAGTCTATAGCTGCTCAGTTAAACTTCAGGGGGGTTTGGGGTTGGGTTTTTTTTTTCCTCCTAGTGAACCAAATCTATTTGGCATCATATTTAATTTTAGTAAGCAGCTGCTAATTGCCCCATGCAGCACCCTTCCCTGCCTCACAGGTCACAATGGTGACTACCTGGTGGTTGTTCAGAATAGTTTTACTTTTAATCTGGCCATGGATAAGGTTCTTTTTTCAAGGCCTCCAGAATCAAATCTAGAACAACTTCTGACCAGAGCAGTGTAAGCAGTTTCTTGTATTTTTAGTTTTAGCCTCCTTTCATTTCAGTACTAGAATTGTTTAGAAAAAAAAAAGAGAGAGATTTGAGTTTGGTCTTTCTACACTAAGAACTTCTTTCTATTCTTATGTAGAAATACCTCAGTTACTATCACAATTTGCAGAGAAATGTAAATGTATTAGCGAATAAAGCTTAAAATATCACTGAAGTAAGGGAGCTTGGTTAAGAAACAGTTTATCAGATGCCTTTAAATGATTCCATTGAAGACCCTTATGATTGTGTCTAAAGCTTACAAGTGATAGATGGCCAAACAACAAACATTTTTGTTTAGTCACACACCCCCAAACACAATTTGGAAAGTTTTCCCATCCCCTGCAAACTGGTTACTTTGTTTTTAGGTTACTTAAATACTTAAAAAAGATGTAGATAGGTTTTCACAGAGATCAAGCATTTCAGTTACAGATTTTTCCACCCAATTTTATTCCCCCACTGCCTTGTATCAAGCTAGATCCACTACCTAAACTTCACTAGAATTCATGAAGGCGTTTATTCTCCTAAAACAGTATTTGACAGCTTTGCTAGTTGCCAACCTACATTTGCCAAGCTCTAAAACATTTATTTTATAAACTGTTGCTGGAAACAGCCAGTTTCTGTGTGGCATCCACTTTTACACTGGAATAGCAAGAGTTGATGTGGAAAACATAAGCGGTCTGAATCATTACCTCCATCTTCCTGGGTTTTATTTTTGCAGTACCCTGTACTGTGAGGCAGCAGCGTGTTATTTCTCCCATTATACAGATGGCCAGTTGATATTTTTGACTTGCTCGGTGTTGCAGAAGATATTTAAATAATTCAACCCAAATACCCCATGGCCCAAACCTTAAGGTGATATTGTGTATTTTGAACCAGACATCAAGAGATTCAAATCCTTTTGCCAGAAGGTTGAAAGCAGTCATTTTAAAAAAGCTTCACGCTTCAGATAAATATATTTCAATTATTAGTCACAAGCTGTTCTCTGAAATTCAGGGATGTTGGAATTACCTACTGGTCTGCAGAGTGAAAGCTAATACCGCTGTGACAGTGATGTTAGCAGTCACATTAGCACCCTGGCCTGTCTTTTCAGTCCTGAGCTAGAGATACACATATAAAATAATCCAAAAATAAGCAGGCACTATTTTAGAAGAGGTGATATAAATTGCACTGCGTACACACGCATGCAAAAATAGCTCCCGTGGCTGGGTGACCCTGTCTGTAACAAAATACCGAGTTCTTTTGACCAGCCAGTGAAAACATAACATCCTTAGCCTCCTGACCTTGCTTCAAAAATAACTTTGAAACATTTTGTTGATCTATAAAAAAACCCAACATAGCATCTAACACCTATGAGTTATTGATCTCTCTCCTAAAATCAGGGACCTCTAACCTAGTGGCTAATAGAGCACTCGGAAAACTCGCTGCCAGGTAATACCAAAGGCAGCTGCCCGACCTGTGTGGACTGTCACTGGTTTGCCTGCAGTGGCTATTAACCACTAGTCAATTTACAAAATGACAATAAACTATCATGAAAATAACGGAATGAAAAATATCTATGGACACCTCTATGAAAAAATGAGTATCTAAAACCTGGTGCTCCTATGAAAACATAGCACTCGCAACCTGTTGACCCAGTCAGGAAAGTGTTTAAAAATTCACATAACTCCCATGTAATATCCCCTTTCCCCAAGGCTAAAATTCCAGGCTGGTAACCCTGGAGGAGGTACCTTTTAACTAGGGCAAATCAGCTTTCCCTCTTGAAATATTATGTGACATCTGTCATGCCATCCGATGACTCACAAGTAATTTAAAGAAATTAATGCCTATACCTTTGAGTTTCTTTCCTCATTACCAAAAAAATCCACTGTCCTCCTCCACCTCTGCCATTCAGTTATGAAATTAAGACTACTCACCTGCAAAAACTATTCCCTATGTGGAAAGCCACAAATACTCTGCACGTAATTGGACTTTGAAAATTTGTAGGGGATGGAAATAGCAGCCAGTATTATATTAACTGGTCTAAAACGTGAATGATCTCCTATGGGTACTGTGAAAACCTTCCTGAATTTATAGTGCCTTAGAAACAGCAGTGGGTACAGGAAAGAGTACCCTGTACAAAACAGATTCGTAAAGGAGCCCGTGTCTTAAAAGTGGAAAGCTGTCATTTTAAATCATCTGGAAATTTAATTAGCACATACTGCTGGAGATTAGCTGTCATTTATAAAGATACTATGGGGCTTAAAATGCAAGGAAATTAAATACAGTAATTGTCCTCTAAATTAACTCCAAAAACGTAGAAGGAAGAGAGGTGTTTCCACCAAAAAAAAAAAAAAAAGCACCTTTTGCTAATACAAAAGAATGCAGATATGCACTGAGCTTGCCAGACTTCATTTACTTTGCTTTCTGAAGAACAAATTGCAGTTTGTCTCAACAAAAAATAAGAGCTGCACTTCGGGATCATCAGCTACTTTATTGTAAATGGGTTTTGTGGCGGTTTTTTTGATCATCAGTTTGCACAAGCTCGCTTTCTTCCTGGAGTTTGGTCTCCTCGTTGCCTATCCTTTACATGACGTGAAGAAATAAAGGTGCTGCATCAGGTGGGCCTTGTCTGTTTTTGGAAAAAGACTTCAACTACCTCTTATATTACTGCATCAAGCTTAAAACTCCCCAGATAGAGTTAAAAAACTGTGTGACCGTACGTCACTTGTGGGTTGGATACAGGTTATCGCTCAGACTCGCTGTCCCCTCAACACCTCCATTTCCACGTTCTCCACGCAGACTTTCGTGCGTATTCCAGTGCTCCTGGCCCAGATTTCAGCCTCGCGTGAATTATTACAAAGGCTAACTTAACTCACGAGGTCGCAGCAGCTTTAACTTAGCATTAGATAACTGAACAGACGAGGAAAACTTCCCAATTTAAATTAAACACCTTCTTTTGGTCCCCAAGCCAAGAGACACACATAGAGAGAACACGCTTCTCGAGACAGGAGTCATCTCTGGACTTCACAGTAAATATTTAGACACAATGCTGTTAAGCAGGGAGAGAAAGAACGCCAATATCAGGCACGGTATGGTTCAACCGATACTGCACTACCTGCCCTTGAAGGTGAGCAGCGCTCCAGGCATTCAGCTTTACAACCAGAAAATGATAACTGCCATGTCCCATTATCCTCCTGAAAGCTGATACCCATTGACAGCCCGAGGCCAAGAAAAGTTAACCTCAAGATTTACAGATCCTAGCACAACAGGGCTCTAAACTTGGTAAGGGTCCCTAGAGCCTGCTACTTTCATACAGCTAATAATTTAATAAAAGCTGCCTACAAGTACCTATTTTTTGTCTCCAGAAGCAGTTGGAGAAACCAATAGCTTCTGTAACTTCTCCCCCCCTCTTTCTTCTTCCTTTTGGATAACAGCCGTTTGGCAGAACAGAGACGAGGGATGGGATTTTCTCCAGGATCATGACCCAGAGCTGATCAAAGAAGAGAAACGGGGAGAAGTAGAAGAAGAGATCAGAGTGCAGGTATGCTTACACTAGTAAGAGGACACTAATAACGTGTGTTGCCTGTATATGTTTCTCTACAGCTCTAAGAAGCGGCCCTGGCATAGACCTCACCTCCTTCCAGAGTCCCTACTATCTGTTCTTGGCTTTAACGCTTGTTTAGCTGAATATTTGTCCAAGGTGCAGTGGCGGAACAGAAGACTTAGAAAAGTTCACCTGTGTGTGTCTGGATAGGTCGATGAATTGATGCAACAGAAACTGCGGAATCTCAGACTGGCTGTGGATGGAGAGAAGAGCGACAAACAGAAAAAAGGAAGAAAAAGTGAAAAGGTAAGAGTAGCCAGTTGAGAGAATTCAGGGTAAATGTCAGATCTCTGCCTAGATACAGTGGTATTCAGTGCAAACCCTAGTCTCACAGATACCACTATCAAAACATCCACTTTAAACATTTACTGAATCTTAAGTCAGAAGCGTTTAAAAATCTATTCACCTGCAGTTTTTTTCAAGGCCTTTTCTTTTAGTTATTGTTATTCCTTACGCTTTATAAATATTGCTTAGGACAAGTTGAACTATTCCAGAGATAAGTCACTACAAGATAACACCAGATTTTCAAGAGGGGTACACACACACACCCTCTTGAAATCCTCTGATCCAGCCAAACAGGAAAATCCAGGCAGTCCCTCTCTAAGGTGACAGGTTCAGATTAATACAGTTTTCCAAGGCAGGCATGGATCTGGGTGTGTTCAACTGCTGGCTGGTTTTCTTCTAAACGAGCACTGGTTAATGTGTTTCAAAACTGTACACCAAAAAAATTTACTTTGAATGTCTTGCTGTAAGCTCTCATTTATCTGCATCAACACATAAATCACGTACAGCCAGGTACACGTTGTTTAACTGTGGTACTACTTACTGTTGAAGGGTTTGGGAACTCGCAATTTAAGCCAAGTTTATTTAAGCATATAAAATAGGTTAAACCCGTACATTATTTTAATACGTGTTACCCACTGAGATGCAGCCCACGTCATGTTCGCATCTAATTTCACAGCATTACCACATGCAGAATTCCAGGGCTCGCGGTTCCCTGAATTCCTTACCCAAGCGTTTAAACTATAGATCACGTCAGTGCAAAATAACTCTAAGCTCACAGACCCTACCATTCGATCAGAGACCCACTTCAAATCCTCAGGGCAAATAGCCAACACTAATCTCGCGTTATATTTCATTTCTATAATCCCTTTAGCACGCAAATACTTGTCTTTGCGGTACTTCTACTCAAATTATCTTTAAAAAAAGCTCTTTCACCTGACAGAGGTGCAGGGGCAATTTGATAACGCAAGACTGGAGCGACTCTGAAAACTGATACCAATTGAATTGCTAAATCTGTTTCAAAAATAGGGAGGTTTAAGATACACAGACGAAATAGTACAACAGTCTTCCCAAAAATGTCACGGGCAGATGCATTTAGATCAGCTGGTCAAAACTGTTTCAAAATGTCACGTTGGAATGATAAAGCTTTATGTTAGGGTTGGGTGTTTTCCTTCTATATAGTGTTGGAATGGGTTTGGGTGGAGGAAAGTTATTTAACTTTTGTTTTCCCAAGTTGTGCCAGTAGCCTGAGAGAATGAGGGAGGGGAGAAGAGGGGAAAGTACTACTAATTAAATAATACAAGTTCCCTAAAGATTTTTTCCTCTGGAAAAAAAAAGCAGTTCTATTTTAGGGGTGGGGAATCGAAGGAGGTATCCAGTTTTAGTCAAAACACATCTTTCCCTTTGCAAAGCTATTTGAAATATCCAGTCAGCATTGGCAAAGGCTTTTTCTAATTCGTATTTACATAAATAGCTCAAACCAACTCACTGTTTGCATACCTGTGCACACAGACTTCAGATCTGCTTTGTCCTGTCTAAGAAGGATAAAATGATCTTAAATGTTTTGGAAGCAGCATATTAATTTGTTATTCAGCAAAACTCTAGTTTTTCCAAGGCTTGTGTTACCACATCCTGGGTCCCATACATCCGCCCTCTGAACTGTACAATGAAGGAACAGTGGGTTTGGATTCTCGTTATACCCATGAACACATCTGGAGCACGATGTAAAACAGTTTTCTCTCCTAAAAAGGGATATTCTGCAAAGACAAGCATTCTCAGGAGAATTCACCATTCTTCAGAGAATACAAACCTTTTTCTGCACTCTGGCGGCGAGGAATGGGCAGTAAGGGTAATTTCTTTAAGTGAACTCTTATAAGTGGAGTTTTCTGTGTCTAGGGGCACTTACCCCTACCCCTCCCCAACTCACGATGCCACCTTTGGCCATCCCATCTGTTGTGAGAAGGGATTTCTTCTGGTTTCTGTGTAGGAAGACATCACAGTACGACTAGGGCTTTTTTTGGTTGTCAGGGAATAGTCACTACCCAGGAGCAGAGATCCTCTGCCTTTTCAAGCACTTCTTAGGATAAGTAGTTTACAACTCTGAAAACTTCTGTCAAGTCCATATTAAAATAAAAAAAAATAATCTGCCCCACCCACAGAAAATAATTGGAGTTTGAAATCCTGTTTGAAAGCCCCTTTGCTGGGGAATTCAAGCGAGGATATTTTGGAGTTGGACTGTAAAGGCATAAGGAGGCTAACTGCTCCCTCCCGGTCAGCGGTACAGATAGCTCAGGTCTTAGATAAACAAAATTCAGCAGCTCCGGGCATACCGGCAGGCCACTCCTTTATTGCCATACGCTTTACTTTCCAGGCTGAACTTTATCACCGATTCCCAAACCTTCAAACATCACTTCATGATCTGAACCCTACCAAGAATTGTTCTTACTGTCCCTGAAGATAAAAAGCCCATTTGCCACCTCTGTGGAAGAATCATCTTGAGTGGAAAGGCAAATTGTTCTTCCCCTTACAAATGGGTCTCCAGACCAGTAGGCTGGTCTGAAAATACCTAAACTAATTAGATTGCACCTAATATGCTCCAAAAAGCCACGCTGCTGTTTGAGGCACACATCCTGTGCCTCCATCCGTGTTAGAAGCATCTCAGCCCACACTGTCCCACTATTACTTGTCCTTCTGGTCCAGCATTGAGAGGGTATAGAGCACAAGTGTCCTCGTTAAGAGGCACACTGTGCTGGACTCTAATTGCTCCAGACAGCTGCTGCTAACTGTCACAGGGGAGGGGATGAGAATACCGCAGAAACAGAGCAACGTTGTTCAGCTCCGCTGCAAATTGCATTTTTCTTCACTGTGCACAGTGGCAGCTTGTCACCTGCCCAGCCACGGATCACCAAAAGCTGGGATCCTAAGCACCCGTGTGAAAACAGGTTGAAGAAAGATCTGAAGGGAGATTGCCTCCTAGTGAGGGATGCAGCCTTGATGTCTAGGAAGGCTAGCAAAGAGATGTCAGAAAGTCTAAGTGCCCACCCCAGCCTAGAGGAGCCCCTTACAAAGCACCTGAAGTGAAAGAGAAAGGGCTAGCATTTCCCAAAGTATTTGATTTCTCAAGGAGTCAGTAGAATCCTTCTGCCAGCACTGACTTTTTAGTGAAATGTTGTTATTCTGAGCCCACCCCTCTCTGCTGACGGCCCAAGCTTCTGATTTGGGTGGCTCAACACAACCCACCAGCTTTACAAGTCTGTCTTTAGGTGGATACCACATACCCTACCACAGTACCAGAGGTCTTAGTAGCCAAGAGCATTTCTCTTCAGGACCTGCAGCCAAGTAAACCACCACAGACCTAGCTTCTTTAATCTGGCTTGCCACCCAACATAAGAGCCAACAGATTAGCTCTCTGCAGTTACTGACCTGGAAGTTCCATTTGAGTACTTAGAGCACTTCTTATCAAGCCCATTGTGCTGCTTTTCCTGCTCCGCTCCCCCAAGGATTTGTTTCCGATCCAACTGCAGGTAAAACTAACCCGTTGCAAGTGAACACACCCACACATACACAAAGGCATGGCCAGAATTTGGAAAAAAAAAAAACAGAAAGAGGGGACATGGGAACTCAAGCGTGTAAAAGTTGCTTCTGAAACAGGCCTTGCTAGCATCTCAACACAGCTTTGGGGATCCCTTTCTGATGCAGCCAGCAGAAGCAAAGAAAACCACAAGAGGTTAACTATAGCGATGGCTACGACAAGAATATTGACATCAGTCTCCAGACTTGCTCGGAGCAGAGCCATAGTGAATAAGGCCAGGAGACAGGCTGGGTTTGAGGACAGCGATTCACAGTCCCTGCTGGATTTTCTGTAGCTGATGGAGATGAGCACCCAGCGCTCTCGACCAGCTGTGGGGCCTGTAACCTCTTTGGATGCTGCAGCTAAACCCAGCAGGGAGTACGGATCAGAGCCCCTCATTTAGCAAGAGCTTAGTAATCAGCGGGAACATCTTTGTCTAAGGACTTGTTCAGTACGAGTGTCAGAAGCTGCTCTCTATCTTGACATTGCCAGAAGAGACTTCTCAGTCCAGAGCAGATGTGCACACAGTACAAATCCACACTTGCTCAGGCTCCCACATGATCCCAGGAGTCCACTCAAACATTTCACAGACTGCTGCTTTTACACCATCTCTTCCCTTACACCACAGAAGTACTTCCCTCTCCTTTTCCACGTACTCAGTGGCGGTAGCCGCAGACAGCCGATGGCAGCAGGACTTGTGCCATCACAGCCAAAGGGTGACACAGCTCCTTGCGGTTCCAAGGTGGAACAGTTCCCTCCATGAGACATTTTGGCTACCCTCTCCCTTCTGGTGCCAGAGACACTCTGCTCTGGAATCTGCTTGTAGCAACCTCTGCGCTACTCAAAACATTTCCATGAGCCCGTGCCGTAAGACGAGGTGCCACGCTGAGCGTGAAGAGAGTCTTCTGTCATCTGCCAACTAACGACTAACGCAGCTCACTACACGTGACTTAGCAAAGCGGAAAATAACCAAGTAAATGGATGGCTACACAGAAGCTGGACTGACATCTCAGAGAGAGAAACAAGGAGATTTCCATTATAAACGATGAGCATGTTCACATTCATTAAACATTATCATTTTCTAAATAAAAGCAGTTCCCAATAAGACATTTTGGAGGAAAGCCACTGTCTACAATTCATATCTCCCCTTATCACATCTCAGTGTTTGCCAAATTTCCCATAAGTGCTGATGTTAATTAGGAAAACACATTTTTTCCCCTGCATCGTTCATTTTTGTTTTGCTCTTGAGTTACTTTATTGGTGAAGCTGCCTTGAGGACAATACCAGTTGGGCAATAAATTCAACATATGCTTAGTGTCTTTACTAGGTAGAAATGAGCTTTTCTTCCCAGTCAGACCCCATGATATGTAATTTCTAGCTTGTTGGAAGAAAGGTTAAAGAGACAAAGCTGGAGGAACACCAGAAATAAACCACTGACAGTCTCAGTATTTCCTCAGTTGTTAAAACAGCGTGGCATATGCTTTGTTCTTCCTGCTCCTTTTCTTTAAAAGAAAACCCCACTAGCACATTCTAACGAGTATTTGCTGCCAAGCTTATTTATGTGAAGAAATCCAAGGTGTGGTTCTGCAGACACAGAGTTGTTTGCACGACTAACCCAAAATTTAAAACACATTATCACCTCTTCCCAGTTTACTTATCCATATAGTTCTGAGTTTAATTTACATTTTTAGCTAGAGTGTCTTTGTTGCATTGTGAACAGAAACAGGGGATTGAACCATAGGTGATTGACATTGCGGCTTACAACTGGTATATTTTTGAACACTGCTAATCCATTCTAGAAAAAAAACCTCAGTGTTTTCCAGATAATTGGATAGGATTTTTTAACTCAACAACATACCCTCTAGAGCTCTGCAGAAGTATTCACTATTACAAAAATAAACGACTGTATTCCCAGGAAAGCGAGCATAAACTTTTGGAAAGAATAAGCTGTCTTGATCAACTAAGCATTTAAGCACATGCTTAAACTTAAGCTGTTGAAGAAATCCCATGGTGCAGAAATGTCACTGTGTAAATAGTTCCACTGAAGTAATTCTAAAGTGCTTTGCAGAACTAGAGTATGGACACCAGTGGTGGGCACTAACATGGATTAATGATGCCTTCTCCACTACTAATTATCCCTAACCATATTTATGGTTTGTGAGCTGTAATTAATGGAGGGGCTTGACATTACTGATTCACATCTCTCATTTGTGTTTTCCGTGGGCTTATTGCAATATGTAAAGAAACTAGTCACACAAGTCAAAAATCTTCCTGTAGTGGAAGTATCAAGAGAAGAGCAGGTCATGTTTTTCCGACCTCTTCAAGCTTCTTCCCTGAGGCATTAGGAAAGAGAAGGCAGAAGGATGTCTAATGGTTAGGAGGCCAGCCAGCAACTCGGGAGGGTTGGTTTCAGGTCCTGGTCCAGCTGTAAGCACCCTGCGTGACCCTCAGGGAAGCTGCTTATGTATTTTACCCCAATGAGGTGGGGGGAAAAGAGCCATGAACAGGCTTCTGAAGCAGCTACTTGGACCCCACACCCTTTTTCTTCCTGCTTCCCCCTTGGGTAAGGGCCATACCCACTCAACCACAAAGTCCTGCTCCAAACAGGAAGGAGCAAAGAGTTTTCTCTTGGGGCAGATGACCCTGGGATTCTTTTGTATGCAGCCTCCACTGGAAGGGGCAGGACTGATTGCTTTGAAGTATGATGCTCTGGGCATTCATCAGGGAGGTGGCAGACACAGGTGAGGTACAGAGGCTCCCCAAGCAGATATATTCTAGAGAGAATAAAGCAGCAGGTTTTACTTCATGCAGAGTCCAAATTCAAGAGCACCTGCCACAGGATCTGCATGAGATTTGTAGGTTGGACACAGCTCCTCAGCCCAGGGTGCTTCACCTCTGCTGTGCCTTGGTGAAGCACTGAACAATGGGAGCATCTCCTGTGCCTTTATAAATGGGGACATGACTTCCTTCCCTCAGGGCATTCAGGGATAGGATTTTTCCCTTTGGGTTCTTCAGCAACAAGGGCTACATTCAGACACTAAAGTGTTTGCTTTTCTGGCCCTCACTTTCTTTCAGTACATTAAAAATATATATATATATGTCTGTACTAAGGTCACTAATTCTTGCCTGGTTTTGTGGTCTGCAGAAAAAGAAGACAACCACAAGGAAAAAGATACCCAAGATGGAGGAAGACCTGACTCCTGACAGGTAAGGAGAAGACCTGTTTACCCGAGATTCAGACAATGAGACTGCATCTTCTTTGCATTTATCAACCCTTCTTAGTTTTTGGTTACACACAGAGCACCTCAACATTGCAGCACTGACGAGCATCAGGAGCCGTACAATAAATAAACCCTCTTTATTAACAGCTATAAACATCCATGAAAAGCCTAGATGATAAAATCATTCGCAATCGAGGCACATAAGCTTTAGCTAAAAGGTCTTTTTTGCATTCCCAGTGTACACCACAACCTTCCCACTGCCTCTCCCCCTACCTGATGGCTTCGCAGCACCACAGATAACAGGGCAACAAAACATTGCTTGCTTTAATGCTACAGACACAGACCTTGTTCCCCCCCGCCCCATCTTCAACAATGCATCCAAATTAAAACCCCAGTCTCCATTAACTTCAGCCAGGTTAATTCCAGTACACAAAGCTAGGCACATGTAACATCTCAGCAGACAATCAGCCCCATTTCCCCCTTTCCCATCCTCTCTGCAGGTGCAGGAGCACCTGGCAGTTTTGTTGACTGTCAGATTTTCCACCCCAGCTAAAACCTGATAAGGGAGGCTGCAGACAGGCCCCTGTACTCTATAAATCACCCTTCATGTCTGAGGTATAACATACATGTCATAAATCAGTCTTATTTATCATTAAGAGTTCTGGCAGATCTGGCAATTTCTTGTGTACCCTTGCACCCCTGTTTTATATGAAGGATTGGAGAGGATTTCTTCTTTTGACGTTACATTTTCAGCGAGCTCCTGATGCAGTCACCGATAATCTGGCCATTTTTCACCTGTACGCATCATGCAGACACCTACGCAGAGATATCACCGCTGGGATGTGCTGACCCAGCAGCAGGGCAGGGCAGGAGCAGACCCAGCTCCCAAGAGAGCAGGGCTGGAGAACAGCACCAAGACACACGCACTCAATCACTGCAGGAGGAAGCACCAGGGATTCACCCCACAAATCCACTTATACAAGACGTGCACAGCAAGACCTGGACTAGATCATTTGGGTGCTAGCGCTACACAATCAATGATCTCTACCTGCTTTAAAAATAAAAAAATAAAAAACCCACTCTCCAAGCAAATATTTAAAATCAATGTGTCATGAATTATAACAGAGCATGACCTCTCTTACAAGAACAGTGCCAAAGTCTAACAAGGACACATATATTCTTTGCTTTTAAAATTACTCTTGCACATACCTGCTTCTTTATATATAAACTTAACACAACATACAGCCATTTAAGAACACGAGCTTTTTATAGCAGCTGGCTTTTAATCAGAGTTTATGTGGCATTTTGGCTCCAATGCTTTGCTCTTCCCTGCTGAGCAGGGAAGGAGGAACTATTTCAGAAATATTTCAGAAATAACCAAGAAAAGCTCAGGTTCATCTCTGTTTTGGCATGGCAGAGGGGGCACGGGGGGGCTTTAGTCAACAGAGACTGATCACATTGCACTTACTTGGAGGAGACTCCAGGCATGCATCATTAAGCTTGCACAGTAAAAATAATAAGACAGGAGAAGTAGAAGTCATGCTCCCAACAGAACTGTCAGGTTAGTCCCATTCTACCTTCTGCTTGGTTTATGATGCATGCTCAACATAAAATCGCTGAGAATGAAAGCAAAAGTCAGAGTGGCAAAATCAACGTTGTTGAAGGTATATTAAATTTTCTATTTCCTTATTACTACTCCTATATTAATTGTGTCGCTAACACTGCATAAACATAAAACTTCCCAGCTGAAATGGAAAAAGGCTACAGACCTCAAATTATATATATATGGTTTTATTAGCCAGCTGAGAGTTGCTATTAAATATTTTTATTGTAACAATACCAGAATGTCCCAATTAAGATAGGTGACAAAGACAAAAAAAAGCTCAGACATTGAAGGGAAAGGACATGACAAGTACACATACAGTAGAAGACCTAGAAGGGTTCCGATCAGTGTCGTTTACACTAATGATATAACAAGAATTACCCACAGGCTTATTTATTTTGTGTAATCCTTGAAGCAGTATCCATCTGTAGAACCAAGTGCCAAAAAAAGTCATTGCAACTAATACTTAGACAAAACTCCAAAAGAGAGACAAAGTAGAACATCCATAGCAATAGAAAGCCAGATGCAAATGTAAGCATATTAAATCCTCACTTAGTGGGAGCTATTTCCAACCACTGGTGGAGATAGGAAGAAACCATTCCACTGGAGAAGTTATTCCCATTTCCACTGTATGTTTTTTCTCCAAAAGCCTGCTTTGGCCAACATCACCCTAACGCTGCAGACAGACCACCGGTTGCTCCGATCGAACCATTCCCAGTATGTTCCTGATGAGATGAGGCTGTCTGTTGCAAACAGAATAAATTCCAGGAAGAATTCATGAATTACTACTAATTGGAGAGCTAAGTGAATAGGTATAGTAGTGTTAGGATTGCTGTTATATAATTTAAAAATAATTTCCCAGTAATTGATATTAATGAATGAGTCTATTACACAAGTCAGAACTGATCTTGCATCACCTAGAAACGGGTAGCGGGATCAGTCTGAGAGGGAGCCACGCGGCGTGTGGGGTAGTAAAAGAGATTCCTTGCCATAACACAGAAAACAGTACTTATTGATTTCATATTGATGGAGCTAATCACCTTTACCTCTGAGCTACCAGGTAATTTTATAAAGCTGAGGAAGCATAAATAACTCTGAAGCTAGTTCGGTTATTGAAGGAGTGAGCTTTTACTTGCAGTTCCCTAGAATTTCTGAGTGATGTCTCTTGTCCATAGGACCATCGATTCTCTGTACCAAGAGCTAGTGGAAGAAGGATTACTAATAAAAGCCAAGACCGTGAATCTCTCCGATTATGTTGGTAAAGTACACATTGTACAGCTAATGGGGTGGCTAATCTAACCAAACCTCCAGCCATTCAATGTTCACTGACCCCTGTTTCCAGTCAAGAGTGAGTTCAAGAGTAATGACACTTGCAGGACTTTCAAACTTGAGTATCTAGAGCCACGTATGCAAATCGGGTCTGTTTCTGCAGGGTGCTTAGTGCCTTTCACTTCTGCTGCTGAAACCAGGACCTGTTTGTGAAGCTGGTGCTTGGCTCCAAGCACCGACACCTGGAAGCCTTGAATGGTTTTGGATGTCACAAGCCCCTCTGAGGCAGAAACCAGGTCATCCTTTAAAGGAGCACTGGCCAGGTATTAGCAAGACACTGCAGATCTAACAGACCTGAGGTCATAATCCATCCAGAATATTTCCCAGAAGACAGCAAAAAACCACCATACCTTTACCACCTGCTCATTCAGCAGAGAAGACTCACCCCCTTACCCGCCACCTCCCTGACTGCCCCTGCACATCAAGCAGTGCTTTGAGGCATGTCTGACCCGTCATTTGACTAAGATGTATCTCTGCCTAGTTCTGCATTTCATAGTCCCCTCGCCTGGTTTCTGTTACCTGCAGCTGCAGTCAGACACGTTTGCTCATGCTTTACACAGAGGGGAAAAAAAACCAAAACACACCCCCTTGCAGGCTGGGCAGGGGTCTGACACCATCCCCAGAAGCTTTTGGTGACACACAGTAAAGTCACAGCAACCTTAGCAGCAAAAACCCCAAAACTCCATTGTTTGAAAGGCCACCATTATTTGACTTTGCAGACATCCAGAAGCCACCATGCCACTGGTTGTTAGTACAGTGTGTATCGTACATCACCTCGAAATGCCACATTTATATAAACTCTTAGAAGCACCAGTTATTGCCTTCAAAGTCTTTGCCCACTGTGTTGAAGGTTGAATTAACAAGTGTTCCATCCGTTTTATGCTCATTAAATATCACAAAGTAATAGAAGGGTTTCATTATTCCTTCATTCTCTTGGCCAGTACCATCAAGGTCACTTGTGTCCAACAGACATTCCCTACCACAGATGTTTCAAAAGCACATCTTAGCCAGCGGATAAGAATTAAGAGCTGATAACATCAAACTTGGAAGCAGGCTGAGTACTCAGTATTCTCTCATGATTCTTGAGCTGCCAGAGCAAGATACAGAAGGTAAAGTTGGCTTAGGATCTGGACCTCACTTTTCTTTTTAATCCAAAAAACCAACCCCAAACCCTCCTCTTTAAGGGTCCAAGGACACAGTCAAAGCCTGCAGAAAAATAAGTCCTCATCTACTCAGCTCTTACAGGGTTGAAGTCTAAGGAAGGTCACTTACTCCCGGTTCCTGGGAAAAGGGCAAAGAGTGGAATTGTACTACACAGTGAGTAAAGGCACTGAAATGTCCCCCCTCTATGACAAACCGGCATCGCTGAACTAATTTTCTTGGTGACCTTATCTAAATTAGTCAGAGAATATCCACTGTGATTTATGTTCAGTTGCAATTAAACCCTTTGATGCCTTCTAATTAAATCTGTGAAGATTAATTCCTATCCAGTTCTTTTGATTTCTCCTTAAATAAAAGATAAAACCTGAAATGAATTCTAGTCTTCTGAAGGGAGGGGGGTAGTTGCAACTAGGGCTTGTCTGCCTTTTTGCCCCCAAATTACAACTCCACTTTCTCTTAACCATTGCTAATTCACCTCTGCTCCAGAGCGCTCTAATGCTCTCCCTTTTTGTCTCCAATAAAACATAATACACTATTATTTTTCAGTAATGTTCACCATAACGACACGTGATTTATGGTAAAAAAAAATAATCATCAACTCATCACGATAGTTTTCCTGCTTGTGGCCCATCCTTCTGGATCTTTGTGCTCCAACATGTCTTGTATATGGACTTTGACAGGGCAAGCCATGTGATTGTGGCTCTGTAACAAGAGCTGAGAAAAGATTAGATCTTTGCAGTTCACGTCAGATTTTTTAGTTTTCTTGGGTTGTTTTGTAGAGAGTTTGTTTGAACAAAAAAGACCTGCAAAGCAAAAGCCCCACCAAATTAGGGTGACACACTTAAATGTCTTAGCATAGCGAGAAGCTGAGATGTGATGCAGCCAGGGGATACGCTTGTTAAAGTATCTTTTCCCCTTCCTCTGAAATCCTTTTGATAGAGCATGGTTCACTGGGATTCCAGCCCTGCAAAATCCCAAATCTAGAAATCCTTTGCCAGCAGCATGATTTATGGTGCTACTAATGACTCTTCTCCACAAAGTTTCTTTAAAAGGTTACTCGCGACCGACTGCTCTGCTGAACGCCTTCTGCAGCCTGGAAGGGAAAAGTCTGTAGCATGTTTAACTTCATTTTCCTTTGCAGTTCACCTTTCCAATTTCTGGGGGCCACATTCCACAACAATATTGCCCCGTTCGAATCCCTGTCCCTTGACGGTACTGGGTTTGCCGAGAGCACGTTATATTTGTATTCTATGGTAGTTTTTCATTACTTGAGTTATGCATTTTATAACAATGCAGTGTCACGTTTATTAAGCCCGTGCTTCCTCCCTACAGGCGAGTACAGCTATCTGGGGACCACACTTCGTCAGGTAGATATAGAGCCAGTGCCCTCTCTCGCAGATGTCAGACAGCTAATAGCGCTGTACGGAATATTGCCATTAGGTAAGAGCACAGCAGAAATTACTAGAGGGCAGAATACAATGGCTTTGCTTCCTGTCAGTAACATGCATTTTTACTGGCTTTGACAGGGCTTGATTAATCGTAATCTAAAGCATTTTGCAGTATAATTGTTTTTCAATTAAGCCTTCTGAGTGAAGACCGTATCATTTTAATAGTGCATAAAGGAGCTCGCACATGCTATTGTCAGGTATTGCATTTCCATACCGTCTCTGTTTGCATGTTAACAGTTTGTGAATGGCAGCACATAAAAGGAAATCACTTGGGAAAGATAATAGCTAAAACAAGCTCCAGTGATCAAAATTAATCAAGTTAAGGGAAGGGCTAAGGTTGCAATTTACCTTTTACAAGCTGGCTAATGTTACTCAGTACTAAACAATGCAATCGTTTAAGGAATTAGTCTGAATACATTTTGTACATCAGAGAGAACATTTTTTAAATGCCCTTGCAGTTTTAATGCCAGACTTAGCCAATATCCAGCAAGGCTTTGCTGGCTCAGGTTGTTTGCTTTTAGTATAAAATCTATCCCATATTTTACTTGGGAATGGCATTAAGCCAAACTCTCGTGATTGCAAGAAGTGCCTGTCTCAAGGGCCTCTACTCATACTTCGCTTGCGTCCTGGTTCCATTCCCGAGGGGATTTCGGGGAGATTTTAACTTTATCCTCCCGCAGGCTGTGTCATTGTCCGCTCATCCCCTTTACAGGGCAAAAATCACTGATGTCTCCCTGCCTCCCATTCTGACAAACAGAGCAGAGACAACGCAGAGCTTCTGCTTTTCCCTCCCCTTTGCACGCCTTCCAGAAAGGCCGGTGCTCGGGCTATTCTGTACGTACGTGCTCTCTGTGGCTCTCCTCCGGCATCTCCTGGCTGCCCCCATCCCCAAAGCAGGCTGGATGTGTTGTAGAAAACTTTGGGTTTCAGGAAGAGAAGAGTGCTCCTTCTGCCCTACACTCAACCTGAAGAGTCAGGTTAACAACCAGCATCCCTGCCTTCAACCTAGGTGGGGTTCTTCCCATCTAAAACACTCTCAGCTGGTTTTGGGTAAACCCCCAGGGGCTGGCTGCAAGTTTGAATTGCAATCAGCTGAGACCAAGCTCAGCAGTTATCCCTGTCTGCACTGACTGCAATGTGCTATTTCCCATATCAGATAACTCCTCCAAGGTTATGTTTTAACACCATCTAATCTAGTGAAATCAAGCCCTGAGACACCCCCAAGGCAAGAGGAAAGAGAACCCATAAATTTGCTGCCATTTATACAATTGGCTAAAAATCTAGGGAGAAGAGACCTCGGACTAGTTAAACAAACAGAATGTATTTGCAATAGCAGTTTGAAAAATGCCTTTGATTAAAAAAAAAAATATATTGCATGAGCCAAAAAGAGGCACAGGAATGGTTTTGGGTGATCTTATGGATGACATTTTCCTTAATTGGCCTCAGAACTAGTTCATCATTATACAATTGTGTACCTGCAGAAGTGAAAGTTTTTCTCAGAATTGTCACTTGATGGCAAGGAAAGCTCCAGCTTAAGTGGCATTGAGAAAATTATAAGCAGCTGAAAGGAGAAGTAATAGAAGAAGATATACTTCATCTTTAACCACAGAGGAGTCTGCTGCTCCCCTCATAATAAATCTATGTGTAATAATAATAGATCGGTATGGAACGACCAAATATTAATAAAGCTTGGGTGGCTGACAACTTCACTACATCCTGCACAGTGCTGAAATCACAGCATTCATCTTAGCACTCAGTCCATTGCCATTTATTTGGGACTTTAAGCCATTAGGACACAGATAGGCAGCCTGATTAGATTTATTTTTAAATACCATTCTTACCTAGCTGTCCCCCTTAACCCAGAGAACTTTTCCAGGCTAAGCAATAGGCTCCCTCCGCAGCCCGTCACTTTTGGGGCTGGTTTCCCCCACAGTCCAATAGACACCGGTCTCAAAGACCTTCGGAAGTAGTGGATGCTCGCCTAGAGTCAAATCTGACTTTAACAACCACCACCACTACTGACACGGGATGTTTTTAGGCATCGAGGCAGCGATGTTACTGGCCTGCCAGTGGATATGGATAAAGCATTTGGCATTTTCCTGCTACTTCCATCTCTGGAGGTTCACCTGTACCTAATTCACACAGTGACAGAGCTGCAGGGCAGACAAGTTTGTCACCATCAGCCACCTAAATCTCTTTCTGTGGTTCTGTTTCCACAACACAGGCATTTCTGCTAGGCTTTCCCAGGTGACGGAGCGTATTTCTTACAGCCCAGAATGTATTTACCTGGCACAGCCATAAAGATGGATTTAGAAGTGCTGAGCAGTCATCGCTGCCGGCAGAGCAAGTGAAGCATAGCAACTCTGGCATTTGCTCACCCGAATAAAACAAAGAGAACAGAAGAGAACCCTCTCCTTCTCCTAGCAGATACATCATACCCACTCTGCAACGTGCAGCTGCCACGTTCCAGACTGGGGCAGCGCGTTGGCTGCTCCGCAGATGAGCTAACGCCACACTCAGCAGGCACACGTAGCAACAACATTTAAGAGGAAAAATTACCCAAAAAGAGGGAGGTGCAGGCAGAAGTTGGGAAAAAAAAATAATGTACGGTAACATCTGGTTTCAAAATCACTGACAGACACAGCTCCAACAGATAGTCCCATTAATTTGTTTTCTCTAAAGATGGGGAAGCTGGAAAGTGTCATTTCAGACAGCAGGAGGAAGGAGTTCTGCTGGTCCTACGCCCTTGTCCAGTTGCAGAAAGCGAGGACCTGCTCTGACAACAGATGCAAAGCGTAAAGCCACGGGTACATCTCTAACTCCACCTCTGCCCGACAGCTGGGGGAAGGCGGTCGTCCCCGTGCAGAACCTGTCTGTGCACCACCACCAGCAGCTTCACGTCAGTGCTCTTATCTTGGGTCAGTCCTCAAAAATTTACCGATGAACTACCTGTCTTTCAGCTCACAGATTTAGAGCTGAAGTTTGCCCATCAGAAGGTACAAACAAGGGTAGGTGAGCTTTGTTACAAACAGGGGTGTTCACTCAAATGTGCTGTGGCCACAGCTCTGGTTATACAGAATTGAACTCGAGCGCTTGTGGCGTATTAAGGAAACAATGAATTCACATTATAAATTATTTACAGCAAAGAAAAAAAAAGAGGAAGAACCATTCCGTTACCTTTGTAGCAGACTTAAATGAAAACAATGATAGCGCCTTATGCTTTTTTACAGGTTCCCAAACAGTCCATGAGAAGGCTCCCGTGGCGAAAGCCTTGTTACTAGCCGGACCCGCTGGTGTTGGAAAGAAAATGCTGGTCCATGCCATCTGCACAGAAACAGGAGCCAACCTCTTCAACTTATCTGCTTCCAACATCGCTGGGAAATACCCGGGCAAGAACGGCCTGCAAATGATGCTTCACATGGTTCTCAAGGTACTACGTTTTGTGTTCTTCTCAAAGTTGGTTTCAGTTAATCGCATCCGTTGTAGAACAAATAGGGAATTAAGATCGTAGTTCCTCCATACCAAGGAGCATACACACCAGTTGTAGGAGGGCAAAGCTGCCCAAGGTCGAAAGGACTGCCAACCCAATTTGAAATTCCCTCCCTGCTTTCAAATTTTCAAAACCACTTGTTGACAGCCAGTGCGTGCACCGCTGTAGAGAATTTAATGCCCCTTGAGAAATCACTCATAGTAGCCATATTTTTCACATTAACGTTTGTGCAAGCTTTGTGTTGCCTTGAGTATGAAAAGCATCACAGATAAAGAAAACGCTGTTCTCTGTTTATATGCACATCAGTCAGGAATGCTTGCCACGCAGCATTTAATCAAATACTAGACTGGGGGTGGTCAAAAATTGCCTCTGGGACTCTTGCTGTAAACCAGCTCTCCTCTATACTGCTCTCTGTTTACCTATCAGCAAGCTTTTCAAAAGAGGGAATCCTACCTCAGGATTACATTAACAGAAACGTATGAGAAGTCTGGAAATGAAAGAAGGCGTATGAACTGTGAGGAACATATCCCAAATCCTCTTTAGAAAAAAAGACACTATCCTGGCAGGATTTCTACCACATTTTAAAGTCCTCAGCATTTCTGCTAAGGAAGGAAGCTGGTAAACGGTTCCAGACAAAATACTCTTAGAAAGAAAAAACACAGCACATGCACGAGAAAAAGCCAAATACAGTATTTTTCCAGTGCCAGAGGCCTACTAAAAGACTGAATTCAAATTGGCTCGCCCTGGGGTTTATCAGATGTATTTTATTAAATCCAGTATTATATAGCAGGTTTTGTGACAGGTGCCTCCACATCCCCAGAAAAGGCAGGTTTCACAGTTAAAAGCAAAGCAATCCCCAAGGATCCCGCTTCTCGCTGGTCAGAGCGGCGCCTAAGGAAAAGCGAGGACACTGTGATCACGCACCTTTGATGCCGTGACACTAGCACTGGGTCTAGCACTCCCTGGCACAAACTAGTGCCATTAGACTGAGCTAATACTCCCTTCTCCTCCCTCCGCTCTGCACGTTTCACCCTTCTCCACTTAGTTCCTCCGCCCTCGTGAGTAGCAAAGCACACGTCTGGCTGCGGGCGCAGCGCGCACCCCATCCTTTCCATCATCTAGTCCCTGCTAGGGCACAAGGCCTTTAAACACACGAGCAAGGAGGGCAGACTTTTTTACTCCTATAGAAGGTTCCAGCTAAAGATGAGAGGGTTCATACACACACCATATATAATATACACTAACTGGAACATACATAAAGTATGTATCTATGCACATCAGATAAGTATATACACACACATTATGTATATATGTACATAAGATCGATATCTAAAACCCCTTACGTTTTTCCACATTACTTAAGAACAAATGGAAACGTTACCCAACACCTCCCCCAGAATTACGGGGAGCGGTCCAAGCTTACTTCTCTACTGCAGCTCTTACAAAAGCAGCAGTGACACTCTGGTGAACCTCCGTGAGTTACCAGCATGGAGGTTGCTTGCAGTCAATCACATGGAATAAGGGCTGTCTGGGCTCTTACTTATCAAAAGGTGACTTGTTCCAACTGCAACAGCAGTGCTGCTTCAAACTCCGCTCCTTAAACAGCAAACGACACGGCACGGAGGATCTCTTTCCAAGGGATACATCATCTGCATGCTCATTTCTCTCACCGACATAGCACCAGCCTGTCTTAGCATCAGTCAAATCAACTACGTTCCATTTCCATTCCTAATTCCTTTGGTGGTTTCACCTCCCCCTGCCACCTTCTTTCCCCACAGCCAAGTCACTGATTTCTCCAATCTGCTGACGATTTCAACTCGAGATCCTGTAGGTTCTCAGAGCCAGGCTGGAAGCAATCCTCCATCCACACAGGCTCCGCAGTTACAATCCCTCTGGGTTTGGGTCTTAATGATGCCGAATGTGTCTCGCTCTCCCTGTCTTTGGGCACTCAAGTCCCTGCCACAGCCATCCAATCCCATTTCTCCTGCCATCGGTTGCTGCTTCTTCACAGCATCCCATGCTCCCGTCCAGTCCCGCACCCGGGATGGAGTAACTCCACGCAGCAGCACAAAGAGGTCCAAGCTGTAGCCCACCACCAAGACAGCAGCTTTACAGGAAAGGACTGGGGATTCTAAGGACAATAAATTGAACGCAGACCGGCATGTCCACGCAGCAAGAAATCAGCCAAATACTGGCCTGTATCAGCAAGAGTATAGCCAACCTCTTAAAGCAATTAATTATTCCCCACTATTTGGGAGTTATAAGACCACAGCTGGACACTGTGTCCAATCTTGGGCTACCCTGTTACAAGACAGGCATTGACAAGCAAGCAGGTCCAGCGGAGAGCCAGGAAGATGAGGCGGCTGGAGTGCACGAGAAGCTGAACAAATCCAGTTGTTTCAGCCTAAGAGAAGGCTGGAGTGAGAGGGAGTCTAACTGCTGTTTTCATGGGATGAGACAGAGAACGGAGCCAGACTTTTTCCCAGAGCTGCGCGGTGACAGGATGAGAGGCAATGGACACAAGCTGCAGCAAGGTAACTTGTTTATATGTTAGGGAAAAAGTTTCACAAGAAATCAAAAGAATAAGGAATCTTTGATATCCTGATTTGCAGCAATCTACCGTTTCCCCGAGCTGAAGCAAACACAAGGGCAACACACCTTGAAAACAAATTCCTTAACAAGAGGAAGGTGAACACTGGTATTTGCCCAAAAAAGTTTATTTTTCACCACGGTAAAAAAAAAAGTCAGGTGTAAACATATTTGGATTATTGTACAGCTACATTATACAGTGGCACATAGAGCAGACAAGCCATGAAAGCAGATGGTATCTTGCAGCTGACATGTATATTTAATATTCACAGCTCTCCCTCTACTATCTGACACACCGTCGTACACCTCGTTAAAGTGCTTTGCACGCAGATGATCACTGAAAGAGTCACCACGTCTCCAGAATCAGACACTTCTGGTCATGGGGGTTTTTTTTGGTTTTGTTTGGGTTTTTTGGTTTTGGGTTTTTTTTTTTGCAAATAGAAAGCTTGACAACAGTCACAGTTGCTACTCCAGCTTTCCAAAAGTGCCTTTATATAGAGTTACTCAAGCAGAATACAGACTTTTCACTTACAACTCTAAGTGAATGACAGGAAACATGACAGTTCTTTTTCTGTTATCTTATGATCCATGTAACCATCATGAAACACCAAGATTTAGTAAATAAGAATTAATGGTGCTCTGTGATAAAGGTGAAGTAACCTTGTGCTTTCGATTACCTATCGAATCTGCAGACAACTGAGTTTCTGTAATGAAAGGAAACTCTGGAGAGCATAAAATGACCATTAGGAAACTTTCCGTCCATAACCAAGTGTTGGCTGCTGGCAGTTGTTTCGTGGGAGACACCCTAAACAAGTGAATAGCGTTGGAAAAAAATGAAACTTTAATTTGTTTCAGATGCAAGAGCCAAATTCTTTTTTTTTCCCCCCCTCCCCTATTTCAGGGAGGAGACTTGCAAGAGACATACCAGCCCTGATCCAAAAAGAGAGGCTTGTGTGTTACTCAAAGCAGGCACTTTAAATGTCATACGGAGGAAATGACTTCTCTCTCATACCAGAACAGGAAAACACCGACATTTCAATCTGCCTATTCAAAGGAAATGTAAGGAAGATTAATATTAAATAGGAAGACTACTGAAAGAAGCTGCGAACACCAAGCCTGAGCACTTGGGTTCTTCATAAAGACACAGCAAAGCCTGCCAGGTCAGCTCTGCTTCGGAGTGAAAAGAGAGGATCTGTCTCCAATATAGAAACATTTCCCAGCAGTTCCCAGAACAAAACTCATCCTTCAAGCGTGAATCAGAACACGCTGGAATATTTCAATTAAGCCACATTTTTCACGTCTTGAGCCAGCCTGAACTCAGCCGAGCTCTCTGCCGGCGTGTACCAGCCGATGGCTTGGCTCGCCCCTCTTCCCATCCAGGCACAAAGCACCGCAGCAGCACAACAGAGATGCAGATATAAAAGATGCAAAGAAAGATCACAAAGGACGCATAGAGACAAAAGCGAATCCAGAAAGGATGGAGGGGAGAAGGTGGAAGGCACGGCTCCGTGACACAGAGGTGGAAAAATGCAGGTAGTTCATAAGGCTTAACTCCGAGGCAGTAAAAATGACAAGGCCCTCCATTAGGAACCGTAAGGCAGCCATCAGGTTAATCAGTACCAGAGCGAGACAACCCCTCTCGGGTCCTTCACCGGGGCCGCAGCAGCGCACAGAAAGCGCATTGTACGAAAAACCACACATGGGAAAGTGTTATTAGTGCAACACTGACCAGGCTAAAAGGTTGGGAAAGAGGTGGCCGGGAGGAAATACCAGCGGAGAAGACACGTACGCGTATCAACAGCTCAGTGTGTGCCACGCAGCCGGCTCCGCTGAACAAGGAGCTTTACAGAGCAGCAAGCTGCAGAAATATTTCGACACTGTCACTGCTGGGCAACTCTTATCAGGCTATTTGGTTGTGCTATTTAGCAACTCAGAGGTGACTATACAAGCGTTACACTAAAAAGGAATACGATGGAGTTATAAGTGATATAATCCCAGCATTTAGGGGCAATGTAATTGTGAAGTCTTACCATCAATATTTGTTCCATAGAGGAATCGGGTTCCTTTATGTGTAACCACTGCTGTATTGTCCCTTCAGGTCATTTTTCTGGCAGTCTGAAGAACCAGGTACAGTTTACCCAAGTACATTGCCAGAAGTCTCTGTATATTCAGCACTTCCGTGCCACAAAAGACTCTTCCATTGCAATTGAAATTTGGGAACAGTACGGTCAGCCTTTCTTCCATGCATCCCAGAGCAATTCTTTTATCTCCAGCCTGTCAGAAAAGCCTAAACCCTTGAAGCGTCAAATATTGCCAGTACTCAAATATACAGTGTTATTTCTGTGACAAAGCAGCTTTACGCTGCGTTACTCTAATGTCAAAAAACGAAATGCATCCTGTTGGAGACAGTATTTATAGTTATTTTCTGTCTAGCAAGCCAGAATACAGCAGCAGAATCACCATAGCACTAGAATATTTGCCTGGTGAGGCTGCCACATTTAAGGTCTAATGACAGGGTTTGGCTTCTTGCTGCTTTGGAGCATTTCCGTGAATATAAACTGCAGAGCATTGAGCAGTTTTCAGCAACAAATTGAGCTTCCAGAAAAATCTTAGTCTTGGATCTTTTAAAAAAAAAATTCCATCAAAGCCTTCAAGTTTGGAGGAGCCTTGTGCACATCCCCTCCAAAAAATCAAGTTCCTGTATTTTCCAGTATAGCCATTTAACCGTTAAACTCTAGGTCTCAGCTTTGAAAAGTTTAACCCAGGGCTTTCAAAAAATCCTGTTTGATCTTTGATAAATATTGCTAGACAGCAGGACAAGAAGGCTTTCTTTTTTTCCCCCCATAACAGTTTTCCTGAAGAGCAAATCAAACCTGCATAACCCATCAGAGCGCAGTTTGCAGCGCGGTATTAGAAGGGTTAAGGAGCCATCTGCTGGCAACTCCAACAAATTGTTGAATGCAGCAAAGCTAATAAAATTTCAATTACAAATTAATTATGTACAGTGCATTTAATTATCCATGGATTCCAACTGTCCGTGGATAATTCAAATGAAGCACTTCCACAGGGGGATATACAGTCTGCTACGTATCTGCCAACAATTTAAATTAGATGCCGATGGATTCTGGGTGTCTGATTTGTCTTTTTTTTTTAAAAAAAAGGGCCAGCTCTAAATACAGTGTGTTGAATTTTGTGGTATTACTGTGTGTCAACACCAGAAAAAAAGTATATACATGCAGGCCAGTTTATGAATTTAGATCATGGCCCCCAAAACAAAAAACACAGGAAAGTATCCCTTGAAGAAAGAGCCAGAAAGAACTGAGGTTATTCCTTGTATTTCCACTTACTCAGTGGGGAAATAAGGGGGACGAAAAAAGATGACAGGTGTGACAAGAGCAAGCGTTCTTCCTTAAGAGTTAAAACGAAGGTAGAGTCTGATGAAAAACTTACGGCTCCATTTTAGAGTGCTGCCAACCACAGAAACCATCTCTGAGCCAAACGGGGAAGATCTGCGCACACCCCCCGACTGGAGGGTGACCCCCCAAAAGGGACAGCACGGTTCCTTCTGAAGTGCAGAAGCAGAGTTGAACCATTGCCACCAGGTTTTATAGCCTCTCTAACCTCCCCCACCTTATTCCCCCCGTCACATCACACTGCGGCATCGCACACACGCAGGTATGGAGAATATATTGCCGACCGGCTACATGGCTCCCCGGACTTCACGTAGCCGCAAAGCCAAAATACCGGCCGGGGACTGTTCTCCCTCGGCAGCAAACGCACAGCGCCTCTTTGCACGAACATTAACACGCGCAATTAGCGGAGAAGTAACCCTTGTCAGCAGTTCCCTTGTCCCCACTTGTTTCCAGGGCTCTTTACAGACATCCAGGAGCTAACCAAATTGACCTGCAGATGGGTTGGACAGACATACATTTTCTGCAAGGTGTCCAAGCTCTTGGCTAGCAGGATACTCAGCAGAAAATCCCTGAGCCTCAGGCTGCTGCACAGCTCGGGTCGATGAAATCACAAGCTTGCCCTCTCAAATGTACCTTGCAGAGTGCACGCAGGCTTACGGGATATGCCAAACATACCTCTGGAAATAGATAAATGGGATATAAATGATAAAAAAAGCATCTGGCCTTAAAATGGCAGATACTATCGCTGTACAATTTTAATCTGGCATTACATTCCAGCTGGTGTACTCAATACACTGCTGGACTAAGTTACCCCTCGACTCGTGCATGCAGATAAACATTCACACAACTGCCTAGGGCCACGCATCAGTTTCTGCGGGATTTTCACATTACCTTTCACGGTAAAGTTTTGGGGGTTTTTAAATCCTCATTATTAATGCTAAACATTTGAGTTCCTGCCTTCCAACAAAGGAAAAAAAGCTCAGTTTTCCTCAGTGAAGCCGTTCTGAACTTGGAGGTACCACTTGACATAGTCTAGGACTGACGAGTTGCCACAAATAAAGCGTCACATGCCGAAGATGGCATTGTTTCCACTTCACCCCGTCGGCAGCACGGCCGAGCAAACGAGTCTAACAGCCCTCATCTATTCTTTTCCCCCCTCTCTTCAATCCATTTTTACTGTACAGACCCGCACACGCGCTTGCTGCTTTTGAGATGCACCCGTAAAAAATGAACCGCGGTGCTTTGAAGAAAGGTGTTCGTGACTTAATTCTTCCTGCACTGGCTGTCAGTCAGACACCGAGCTTGCAATGTCTACAGCCTAGGGATTTTGTAAGCTTCCTTCCCGGAAGCAGCAGTTTCAACTTGGAGGGGGGAATAAAGCAGGACAGAAGAACGCTGTCTCTCTGTTCTTACCCGTTGACTCCTCGAGCCATCACTTTTGTTGCTGAGCAAACTAGCACGGCTACGAGAGCCGCTCAAAAGTGATTAAAATTTGGCAGCAGAATATCTTAAACCACTGGCGTTTCTATAGCAATAGGGAGAGTGCAAGATCTGAAAAAGCCTGTAGCATTGCTGCCATCCTGCTGTGAACCAGAGGTATAGTGCCTCCGACTTTGGAGCTGGAAAGCCCATTTGTATAGACACACCCCCCCCGCTTCAAATTTAACAGGTTCCATTTTAATTGTTGGCCTAACTGCAAATTAAATGCTATTTTGTAAGCCAGAAGATTGCATATCAGCTTATTTTGCTGTACCTTCCTTTCTCACGCGATAGCCATGCCTTGCCTGTCTCCCCATGGGTTTTGCCCTTGGAAAACCAGGGAGGGATCCTACGAGCCGGGCAGCCAGTCTAAAGCTGCCGGTGGTCTGTTGTTTGCCATGGAATTCCAAGTCCAGGCTTTCTTTTTGCAGAACTGTAACTGAATTTGGGTTGAGATAATGAAAGGTAAGCATAGCAGGCAAAATGATCCAATTTGGGTTGGGTTCTCGATGTTAGATTCCTAACTAGAAACGGTTTGATTTGCCAAGGCTGCTGAGCAGAGCCAGCGCTGTCCGTGAGTGCTCAGCATTTCGAGCGGGGGGGCAGAAAATAAGCCAGGCTAATTTTAACTGTTGAAATATGGATTCAAAAGCATAATTACAGACACCCAGGTACAAAATTGTAGCCATTTTAATCAACTTCTTGCCTCCTCTCCCCCATTTTCTCTTAGGTGGCTAAGCAATTGCAACCTTCAGTCGTGTGGATTGGAGACACAGAAAAAATATTTTCTAAAGCGGTGCTGAAGGCTGAAGAAGAGGTGAGTTACTCCTTTTTTATTTCAGTGCAGATAATTTCTCCTGTTGCATTACAGCCATCACAAAGGAACAAGTGTATTTCTTAACTTAGCACATACCAGTATGACCAGACCTGCCAAAGCTTGCTTGATAATAGCTTGTCTGACTAACATTTTTTTCTTTTAAGACAGTCTTGTGACTTCTTAAGAGCCCCCAAGAGGTCACGTTTTTCTCCTACACACCTATACTTGCTTTATTTAAAAATAGTCCAGTCACTGCTCATCAGTGCACTGAAAAGTAGAGGGGAATAATGGAGAATTTCAAAATATGAGGCAAGAAACTAAAAGTTAAGATGAGCTTAAGTTGTTCAGCTCTATTAATTTGAGAAATTGGATGGAGCCAAAGTGAACAATAAAGTAACAAGGATAAGTTTCCACTGTGAAAACAAAGAGCCTATGTTAAATAGATATGTTTACAGATTATTTTCTTTAGGCTCCCAGGAGTCCTATTGCCACTGCTTCCATTCCTTCCTCTCTTGTGTAGCTTCCCCACTAGAAAGAAAATTAAAACGCTGCCCAATAGGCACAGCAGCTCAACCATCGCAGCAGAGAGCAATTCACCTGAAATCCTGATTAGATTCATGCTGCTTGCAAAATATTTTACTTTTAGCACTTCATGTGAAAAATTAAACCTTTTTTCTAAGCTGAGTCCTGTGCGTGTAAGCTGCGGGATGGACACAAGCCTGTATTTCGGAAGACCAGCCAAGCATCACCTTGGATGAGGGCTGTATAGCTGATGGGTGTGCAGTGGTTGATGCCCTCTAGCGGTCCCCAAACCAAAAGGGGAACCTTTTTCTTGGGTTCAAGCCTTGACAGCAAGTGCAGATGGGGATTAAAATTAAGACTAGGGGCCAAAGACTGCCCGGAGCACGCGTGATCTTTGTCTGCTTTGATAGCCCTGTGATCACATCCATAGCCCTGCAGGTATTGAACAAAAGGTCTCATGATCTTGGTGGAAGTGAATGGCTCCAGGCTTGAAATCACTCGGGTCCAAGGTGGTTCACAGCATAACCCATGTTTGGGGCTAGAGAGCATGAAACAGGACGATAACTGGGAAGCCTTCCTTTGGAGCAGAAGAACTTGAGAAGATGAGCTAAGCTCAGCCCTCAGGAGAGGCCAAAGTGACTGGAAGTCACTTTGCTCATTCTAGCATGATGTTTCTGGCACCATGAGCGAGAACCTGGTAAAAAGAAGCCTTAAATTCTTCAGATACCCACGAGAACAGTAATCTTTCTCCAGTCCTCCCCAGAGGATGGCAAAGCAGTCAAATATCAGATATGTTCTGGTAACCCAGTTGCCAAGGATGATGTGCAAGCAGTTCAGCCACTCCAAATTAAACAGATAGGGGTCACCTTCACAATTCATCCGGCTTCTCTGCAGCTGAGGTCCACGTGGTGGCTGAAATCATAGCTGGCCTCTTCAGCAGCCCTTCCTGCTACTGACACATGTCTTTCAAAGCAGACGAGATATTTGATTAGCTTTCAAGGCATATCCCTGAAATGCGTACTGTATGGACACACACACTGGTTTCACAAACAGAACCAGAGCTGCGGATACGTACGCGCCAGTCTGGCTTAGTGGGCTTAACATGAGTGGGGTGTTTAGCTTGGTCTCTGATACTGGTTCAATTGTTTAAAATATTAAAATTAAGATTCCTACAAGCTGAGCAATGAACACTTGTTGTAACTCTAGATCAGTGGGAAATCCATGAAAATCATTTGTCACTCAAAAAAAAATCATGTTCTAAATGCAGGAGATAATTCTCTGACTCCTAGTTTGCCACTTGTTTGTGAAAATAAGTCCTAATTTGTTTTAAAATTTCTCTGCATGTCCTGGATAGAGTCAGTTTTTCCAGCAGAAGATAAGCCCAGATAACACCGTGTCTCACTTGAAGCAACTATTATCTTCTATCAGTCCTTTCAGTGACATGGCATTCCTCTCCCCTCCACACCTAAAATAATTGATAATTCCCACTTTTCTAGCAATACTGATGTCTCGAAACATTAGAGAACATTTGTACTTCCTTCCAATACACATGAAGAGGAGGAAATCTTGAAGCCTCTGTGTAACAGCAGATAGGTAAATCACAGAACAATTTAGCCAGCATAAAATGTGTTTAAAACAAAAGTAAATCTACATTTCAGTCATTGCTGTGACCAGATCGCCCTGGCAGAGCAAACACCGCGAGGTTGGCTCAAGCTTCCGAGGTAGATATGTAACAGCAGCTTGTTTAATCATCAGAGAAGTCAAGTTCATTACCAAGACCTTCCTAACAAGGGAATGGCAAAGTCTGGTTGAGAAGTTGTGATCTGAAGTCACATCCTCAGGCAGCAAGCGTACTGTTGGGATGCGGACAGAGCGACATCCTTTCTTTCAGAGCACGGGAAAAGCCAAGGCTTCTCCTTTGCTCCAGGACAGACCTACTGTGGTTACAAGTTCCTTGGGAGCAAGTGCAGGTATCTCCGCTCTCCTGGGAGCGGTGGGTGCATAGATAGGCACGGCAAGGAGGGGATGAAAAGATGGCAGCTTGATTTCCCAATTTCCCCTCCTCCGTAGCTTTCACTCCAGAGAACAGAGCTTCGTCTCCTTTCTGTCAGCTGTCTGCTACTGCAGCCAACAGAAAAATTGGATCACAAAGACTGTACGTGTGATGCAGATTCACAGATGTTTATTACCACCTTTCAGCTGAGAAGGTTTACAGGACATAGTTTCTTCCTTATTGACATTAAGGAAGGCTGATCCGAAACTGAAGCTCAGGTTTCTCAGGGAGCTGCCTACTATATAGTAAAAAAATATAATAATCACAAGGTGGTCTAGAGAGTAAAGTTTTCAAGTGAGTGTTGGTAACTTGGATGTTAAGTCCCAATCGTTTCTGAAAAGAGGCTTCCAGGTCATTAGACTTCTCTGCTACGCTATCCTAACCCAGCTATTCGCTTATGGATTTATTATCAGTAGAGAGACACCACCCACAGCAATTTGATTAAGCTTCTCCAACCAATATTCACTTGAACATTATCAAACCTAACTATCCAATAACAGGTTTTGCTCAATACTCATCTGCTCTTTAAATAGCATTTAAATATTTGTTATAAAGTCAAATAGTAATTTATTGCAAAGAAATGAATGCTGAGTTCAAAGAGGTTGTGTTCTCAGGCTGGAAATCACAGCAAAAATTAGGGAGTGTATTTTTCACATCTAAACCATGGGTAGGAGTTGTTAGATCATAACCTCCAAGAGCTGGGAGGATTCCACACCAGGTTACGTCCCCTGGCAATTTTCCTATCTGTTAAGGTTCATCAGTAACACAGGTCCAAGCAATAAATCTCCTCAAACTGGAAATCAGCATTTCCTTCTTTAAATGAGTTGTTTCCTTCCTGCTTTTCAATACCAGGACCAGCAAATTCAATAGTGAAAGGCACTAGCGCGAACCCACAAATACGTAAGCAGAAATCAAGTTGTTCTTTGGTCGAGCATCTATAGCCTGCTTACGCTAAATGCGACTAGACTACTAAAAAAGGCACAAAATCCTGTTGTATATAGTGTGTCTACATACAGCTTTACCTCGTTAACTGGAAACTATCAGCATTGATAACGGCTCTTTCCTTCTTGTATTTACATGTACGCTCTGAAGATGAACCCAAAACGGCTGGAAAAGATGCTCCCCAAATTCCTTAAGGCTTTGAAAGCACAGGACAGAGTGCTGCTAGTGGGAACCACCAGCCGTCCCTTCGATGCTAATCTTAAATCTTTCTGCAAAGTCTACCAAAAAATCATTCTGATTCCTAGGCCTGACTACGCTTCAAGATTTGGCAAGTATTTCAAGTCACCCTGAAGACTATTACTGTTTGAAATCCATGTGTCTTGTCTGGTTATCCTCAGAACAGACTTTAAACTCAATTCATACTCCAGGTACATCTCAATTCCTAAAAATTTAGGTAACACTATTACAGGTGACCCAAAAGATCAAAAAAATTAGAAGTGGAAGTTGGGAGAAGAGTTTAAAATGCTGTTCTGCTGCGATTAACATTTTTTTCATTTGTTTAGTGTGCACTGAGTTCAGCCAAAGCTGGTTTTTTCCCCTATGTGAAGGATAAGATCCTATTTCAAGACACACTTTCTATTTTAAGCTTTTCTTTTTACACAGGGATTCTGAATTTCTGTTATTCCTATCCAGTTTCCATACTCTAAACAATACACTTCAGGGTCTTTCCTTAAACAGAACCACGTCTGGACAATTGATTTTTGTCACTATCAAATTCCCTTTTTCTACTTGGAGATCACGAGAGAAATTGTAGAGGCCTCCAAGAGTTTTGCATGTCTAATCCATCAAATGTTTACAGTGACAGACAGGCCCGCCCAAAGTCTAACGAATTCTCCAAGTACCCCATATGCTGAGACTCAAAGCTTGTAAGGAAAACTGTGTCTTTTTAAACCAATTTACGTGGCTAGAAAAAGACAAACTTCCGAGAATGCAAGTTTGTTTTCAGATCTGAATCACCTTGAAGTTCAGAATAGCTCCGCATTGCCTAGGAAGAAATGCTCCAAATTAAGTGTATTAATATAAATCAGTTACTGCAAGGAAAATGGGAGTTTGTCCACATCCTTCAGAATTGGCTGGTAAAAGGACTTTTGTTCCCAGAAGTATTTCTCCCCCCCTCCCTGTGGTTTTATCACAGATGTCACGTGGTTTAACACACTTTTCTGGGTACTGAAGAGTCTGGACGTGGTGACTCTAAGCAGAAAGACTGTTTAGGTTCAGTCTAAAGATAATGCGGAAAAAAGGCTTTGAGCTCTTCGGAATGGCACAAACACTTCGAGTTAGGACTCGCGAGGGTGTCTTTCTTCTACCAGCAGCTCCTAGCACAAGTATCCCTACTGATCACCATACCAAGGAAAACAGACTCCCTTCGTGCCTCTAATCTCCGGTGAACCATGTCCCAGAAGAATGCAGTAGTGAAGGAAACCACATGCAGTTGGGGACCTCGCTACACAATTGTATTTAACAACAATATCGCTCTGCATAGTCACCTTATTACAAAAATCACGCGACTGTATTGGGAAGTCCCATTTATACTGCCTTTCATGGAGGCAGCCAAGGTACCGAGATGATGTTTGGGCAAGCTCAAGACAGGTTTTGACTGCCTAGCACATTGTAAATCTCTCCCACGTTCAATAATTTTCGTAGTGTGGATGGGAAATGGTCTCTAAGCAAGCTAACATGTGTTTCATGTTATGTTACAGCTCTGATAACTTGCTAGCAGATAAGGGACATGCATAAGACCTAGAGAAAAGGAGGTGATAGCAGCTGAATTTAGCTGTGTTTGCTTCTGGGGATTGAACCATCACATTCTGGGATTCTCATTGCTAATTTGGAGTCCAAAAAAGGGCCAGCCAAAGAGATTTCAACTGCAAACTTAAGATTGCCCCAAAAAGTTAACTCTTGGCACTTTAAAGCAGATCAAACTTGTCTCTCTACTTCTTTGACAGTGCCTGGCTTGTTCTTTACCTCCAACCCTTCCCTGAAGTTCAGTGGAAATACGGTCTTTACAAGTACAAAGAACTCGCCTCGCAGTCTTGACAACTTTCAGTGCCTGACACCCAGTTTGAGAAGTAAAGAAGCTTGTTTTGACAGAAGAGCCATGACATGACAAATATTCATAGCCGCAGTGCGCCGCTACCTGTCTGCTACAACCCTCCCTTTTGTTACACACCAGCCCATTCTAATCCATGCGCAGTGGAAACAGCAAACATACAATGGAAATCATTAAACTGGGAGATTCACGATCCCATACTGGTGTCTTGCTATTCGTCACCCAGCGAGTCAGCATCTCGTGTCAAGTATGATCCTACCTACAGCAGAACGCATGGCACACGATATACGGCTGCGCAGTAGCGCTCGCTGTTGTGTGCGTCAATTCTTCTTCTATGATTTAGTGGTTCAGCCAATAATTATCGGGCATGGCTGTAATTCAAGTGGAAGATCACAATTTGCCCGAG